CAAAGCCTACTGCGAATCAGAGGCGCGAAAAAGTGTATGCAAAGAAGCCAACGGAGAGAAATGTGAATCGAGTTGCTGTGAAGGAGATCTCTGCAACACTAGCCTCGTTCCCGCGGTCAGCGTCCTGTTAATGGTGTCATGCGCACTTGTGGTATTGTTTTGATAAAGACGTGAGAATAATCGCTTCAGTCGATCAGCCAGTATGATTCAATGCAACCAAGTTTTTTCCCTCTTATTTCCCTAATTTTTTATTTGTTTTGCATAATATCTTCCGTCTATCTTTGTCGATTACACGCCGCGGTGTTTATTAAATTTTAAGGATTTCTGATGCGAAAGGCAGCGTTTATTTCAAAACTGATCGCATTTCTTACATCGCTGATTACAGTTACTGTTTTAAATCATTTGTAAATGCTATGCAAAAGAGAAAGATGTTTAAAGTTCCAATGTTACAACTTTAGAACCGAGAAGTTAACTGGGTGAAGGAAAACTTTCGCAGAGACCTCTGGGACCGTAGCCTGCGTGGCAGACGTTCGAAAGGGAAGGTGAAGGGAATTAGGGCGCGAGACCACGCGCGAGGGAGAAGGGGAACGGGTTTTCTTTCCTCCCTCCTCGCGCGCCCCCTCGGGTTTCTCTCGCGCCTAAAACTCCGTTTCCCATCCCTTTCAAACGCCTGCCACGCAGGCTACTGAGGCTGTTACTAACAACAGGGGAAAAAAATAGCGCAGCGCGCAAATGACGTCAAAGTGACTAATTTGCAATTTTTGTCTGAGTTTTGCCATTTTTCTTATTTTAATGACTAGAGTCAGACAAAAGTGAGGAATTCGCTAATGTTAATTTCCTTTTGTTTATCTGAGTTTCGGGTCTATAAATAGTAACTGCGCGCAGCGCTATTGGCTATTAGTAAAATCCAACTAGTGGTCTATTATCAATGCTGCGTTCTGATTGGTTGAGCTACTACTAGCCTATATGTTATACCCCACTAGTAGCGAAAAGAGCCGGCTTTGAAAACCAAACCAATGGCGGGTGAATTGCGTTTTGCTAGCTAAAGTTGTTTTGTCTCGATATTTTTGACCAACTAGTTGGATTTGCGGCTCCTGACTAAAACAATTATTCCTCTCGCTCTCATGGCCTCTGAGTCAATAGCCCATTCAGCCTTGCGCCTCGTGGGTTATTGATTCAGAGGTCATTCGGGCTCGAGGAATAATTGTTAAATAGCTGACCAGCGCGTTCCCAGAAACAATAGCGGGCGCATTGCGGCTTCAGGTCCCTTTTCGCTTCTAAAGCGGCGAATGCCCCCTGCCGCATTCCAAGATGAGAAAGACCCTTGGGAACGAGGTTGGCCGCATTCTTTCATCTGCGGCGTTTATTCGAGGACCGCAGTTATTAGTATTTTTTTTTATCTACGGCGTATTTATGAGGGCGGCGTTTAATTGAGAAAATACCGTAGCCGTCTGGTGTCTTTTCCTACTAGAACGTTGCGTAAATACGTTGTAAAGTAAACGTTAGTTTCAGTCTGCTCAGGGAAAAGGGATAATGCTGATCGAGGAGGGTGTTTTCGGTCGAGGCGGGCGGATAACAACCTCCGAGATATGCACAATTCTTCTTATCATACATAAGCTGAATTCAGGTGGCTCGACTGGATTTTTTTAGGGGGATACCTCCCAAGTTTGAGCATTAACTACGTCGGCATGAGTAAAGATATGGAAAAAAGTTACTACAACTGTATTATATAAAGATGTAAATTTCTTATGATCTGGGTTTTATTGCAATCGGAGTCGCCATGGCAACGTAATGACGCCATTACGTTTCTCATTTATCTTTGTGTTTCTCTGTACCAGGAGTTTTTTGAAGAAATCGCTTAAAGGAGTATGTACCTGCCATAATTGCCTTCATTATGGCAAAGTTTGAAGAAATTCTATGAGAGCGTTTTCGAAATATTTTGAAATGCAGTTTTAAGAATCATAAAAACAGTGAAATAGCATGCTAGCCGCACAATTCGCTAATACTTTAAGAAAATGATAAGCTTTGGGAACGCGGCTTCATCTCATAGTGGTTTGATTCCATTGAAAACTGCATACAAAATAAGAGGGGAATTGCTCTGGGCGATCGCGAGTAAGAAGGTTTTTATTAACTTGCATTCAGCTGCTTTTGATAGAGTTTTTGGAGGTAATTTGGTCCATGCCTAAAAAATCTCGCATTTTTCCAAAAACCGCTGGATAAATTTTTTTATAAATTCGACAATCTCGAGATCAATCGTCAAGAAATATTCCCTGCAAGTTGCAAGAACATTGAAAACAAGGAAGGCTTTTAAATAGGGCCTCAAATATAGCCCATTTTCCCCGCAGATTTTGTGTTTACAAGCGAGCGTCCTGATTATTCACTGGCATTGTTTTCAAGTTTCATATACACATGCACATTTAGCAAAAAGATAGAATTTTCATAAAAAAGGACCCTCGGTTAAATCTCCGGGATATGCTAATTACCGGGTAAAGAGATTAGTGATACATTATAACATCAGAGCAACTTTGTTGGAGTTTCTGTGATGTTATAACCCGAGTAAGATAATTAAGTATTGCATCCTACACGATGAGCCGTGACGTTCACCGTTTCGGCTCTCACTGCTATCTGTGACGACAAGCCAGTTATTAGCATATTCCGGATATGTCTTCGAAAAGCAATCGAGAGTTCTTTTTGATACAAATTTATATCTTTTGCTAGTTGTGCACGTGCATATGAAACTAAAAAAATGCCAGTGAATAATTAGGACGCTCACTTGTAAACACAATATCTGGGGGGAAAATTGGTTATGTTTGAGGCCCTGTTTTCAATGTTCTTGCAACTTGCAGGGAATATTTCTTGACAATTGATCTCGAGATTGTCGAATTTATAAAAAAATTTATCGAGCGGTTTTTGGAAAAATGCGAAATTTTTAGGCCTGGACCTGATTACCTCCAAAAACTGTATCAAAAGCAGCTGAATCAAGTTAATAAAATTCTTCTTACTCGCGATCGCCCAGAGCAATTCCCCTCTTTTTTTTGTATGCAGTTTTCAATGGAATCAAACCACTGTAAGATGAAGCCGCATTCCCAAAGCTTATCATTTTCTTAAAATATTAGCGAATTGTGCGGCTAGCATGCTATTTCACTGTTTTTATGCTTCTTAAAACTGCATTTCAAAATATTTCGAAAACGCTCTCATAGAATTTCTTCAAACTTTGCCATAATGGAGGCAATTATGGCAGATACATACTCCCTTAAGTGATTTCTTCAAAAAACTCCTGAAACAGAGAAACACAAAGATAAATGAGAAACGTAATGGCGTCATTACGTTGCCATGGCGACTCCGATTGCAATAAAACCCAGATCATAAGAAATTTTCATCTTTATGTAATACAGTTGTGGTAACTTTTTTTCCATATCTTTACTCTTGCCGACGCAGTTAATGCTCAAACTTGGGAGGTATCAAGCCCAAAAAATCCAGTCGAGCCACCTTCAATAATTGTGTTGCATTATGATTTTCTTGTCTTTTTGCTCATTTTGGTAATTACAGACCTCAATGACAGATTTACCTACCGGCAGAAGTATTCTGCAGAAAGCCGAATACAGAACGCCGAATGACTCTGAGTTTAGTGATTAAGGTTAGGAAACTGATCGAGTCCGGTTCCATTTAGTGCAATTCAACTGCGAAAACAGACCTGAAACTTAATTCACTAAGTTTCCTAATCCTAAACACTAAACTTCAGAGCTATTCGGTGTTCTGCGTTCGTCGAACACCAAATGCAGAACGCCGAATGACTCTGAAGTTTATTGATTAGGTTAGATTTAGGAAACTGGGCGAATCAGGTTCTATTTAGATTTCATGGCCGCAGCATATACTTGTAGACCTTAAATCACCGCAAAAGCCGAATGTGCATGAGGACGTGACATGCCGAAACATCCAACTTCCGCTGTGAAACCTCTGAGAACCTTTCTTTCATTCTATGATTATAATCTTTTGAAGTCGCTATGTTATTTTCCTTGTTTACATGTTACTTAGTTTCTTAGTAGCAAGAGAAAAATGCCGGGCTCAGTAGATCCTCTATCGACAGTTGTTGTATTGTGTGAATGAAACCCTCAGTATGTTAGGTACACAACAGTAAATTTCAATTAAATTCGATTTCATTCCTGTTAAACATCTCGGAGTCAGGCTCGCAGTCTTAATTAGGTGGGTTCAAATAATCGTATTATTGATAAGAATAAGCAGGAATTTGTGACAAATCACTTCAACTGCATATTTTTGGACCAGAAGAAGGCCACACTCTTCTAAATCATTTGTGTCCACCACTGGTTTTTACAATGCGTCAAAACGAGTGGTTTTTATCGTTTATACTACTACATGAGAAATTTCTGGAATTTGATTGGGTTAGAGCAGTGGTATTTCAGCTTAATTTGAAATACCTTCATGTGAAAATTACAAAACTTTTGCAGGTAGTAGTATAAACAAATAATAGCATGGGTTGTACGTGATATTTAGCATAAATACCACTCGTGATATTGCCTAACGGCTCGTAAAATTACCAATAACAATTTTGAAATATTACTCGAGGTATTTATGCCAAATATCACTACAAATCATGCTATAAATAACCTATACAAACCGACAAGTTGTAATTTACACTTCGATTTCTTAGGACTGTAATTTTGTGTCGCGAATTTCAGTTACAGAATATTTACTCTGGAGTAATTACAAATTTTTGCGGGAAAAATGTTTGAGGTAATTTTTATTTGCCGGAACCTATTTTTGCGGATCGCTCGAAAAATCGCAAAAATCGCAAAAATTAGAATCCGAAAAATTTCGTTCTACACGGTGTAAACATCTCCGCAGGCCCCCATAAAGAGAAAAACGGATGAATCTCCAGGGAAACACCACATGACTAATATTAAACTGATGCATTAATCATTTCAGCCGAACCTTTTTCTCCGACATTTAGAGCTCCTGATAATTATTCATTGGTTCCTTATCCAGCTGTTTTTAAACATCTTGCGATATGAAGATGCTATTTGCAGCAGTCCTGATGTCCAGTGTGTCTGTAGGTAGGTCCAATCCCAGACAGTTACTCCGTCCGTCGGTAATACAATGTCCTATTCAGGACTTCCTTCACCTGGACGATCATATTCAACCTACTTATGAAACAGTAACTCCTGAGTTCAAACCTTTCACAATATAAGTGTATTATTACAAATTGGGCAACTACAAAAATTACAGGATGCAGGGCCAAATTGTAAGGATTTCACAGAAGTGGCTCGCAGCTCATCACGAATGTTAAAAAAAACGACAAAGACAAATATTTAACTATATAAAGTGTTAGATAATACGGCGCATGGCTCGGTGGCTCGTCAGTCGAGGTTACTGATTCTCGAAGACCGAGAAAGTTCAATATTTTAGTGACTCTCTATTTGGGACTGCCGAGTCACCGAGCCACTTGCTGGTTTATGTAGTCATTTTATGTACTTTTATTTAACTGACGAGCAACCCTGTCACTCGAAAGTACAATATATAATTCTAAAAGAGTCTCCCTTTATTCTGTAGTTATGCAAATAGCTTTTGGATCAGTTTTGTAAAGCCAGTAATTTGTATCTATATCAGAGCTGATCGATTCCATCTACTCTGATCATTTTTGTTGTTTTTTAGACTGGTACCATCGCGATACCAGAGACTTTTTATGTGCGGTTTCCGGTTTCCGTGAAGTCAACTTCGTTATAACGAAGGGCCATTGGGTTGGCGAAATATTTTCGCTACATCGAGGCTTTCGTTATTAGTTCTTTTCCATGTAATTTGCTATTACTGGGGTGAAGAATTCCGCGTTTGTTATACCGAGGACATCGTTATGATAGGTTCGTCATATCGAGGTTCCATCTAGGTTTTCGAGGCGGCGGTCTTTCTGCGAGTTAAACGTTCAGTTTTTGTTTTGTTTTTTTAGCCATGTTGAATTCGAGTTTCGAATATTGGCACACTTTTTCATCAAACGAACCTAACTCTAATTTGGGTCGATCTTATTTTAGTTAAGATCGTCTTCTAGGTCAGACTTCGAACACAAGACGCGTCAGACCAATAAGCTGGATCGTGCCAAAGAAAAAAAGTTTAACATGAATTTTCTCCTGGCTCAAACAAGGCTAAGAATAAATTATCAAACAAATTTTCAATTTGTTAGTTTAGTACGTCGCGTGTGGAGATCGACCGTTTGTCCCGGAGACGATCTTCGGACGTTCTATCCACCTGAAGCAGAAGGATAGAACGTGTTGGACGATCCAAACTCTTTCAAACGAACCAAACTGAGCCAGACCTCGAACGTTTCATGGACTTAATTCACTAAGTTTGGTTCGTCTCATGGAAACTTCGACGTTTGTTTGCACCAGGCTAGGCCTAAAGCTACATGCAAACGGACGCAACAACTCCTAACATTGTTGAGCTAACAATGTTGGGGGGAGTTGCTGCGTCCGTTCGTTGGCAGTGGTGTGCTCTCGGCCAATGAAAAGGAAGAAAAATTTGCAACGAATGATAAAGGCTATTATTATTAGTATAATTATTATTATTATTATCATTATCATTATATTATTATCATTATCATATATATCTTTTTATTTCATTGTTATTATTATTATTTTTTGTTTGTTTTTAGCAGTTGAAAGAAACTTTTGAATTTTAGAGGTTGGCAGTTTTTTTTATTGAAATGAAATGTTTTTAATTCGAATAAATTTTTCTTAATTAAATTAACTCTTTTTAAGCTAAATTAGGTGCTTTTGAAATCGACAGGAATTGTAAATAGTGTTTTTGAATGAATAGTTTTTTCTTTTTTTTTTTTTCAAGCGAATTAATTGTAAATAGGATTTTAATAGTTAGCATTGTTGTCAATAAAAATATTTTATTATTATTATCATTATTATTATTATTATTGTTCTTATTATTATTATTATTTTAAAGTCTTGCTCTGGGTTTCATCGCTGTCAAAGAGATATCATTTGATGCCATGACATTTTTTTTTCAGCTTTTGGGCTCAAATGCTACAGTTGCGCCAGTGTTAAAAGCATGGACGAGTGTCAAGCTACCCAGGATAAAGCAAACTGCAGTTCATCTTTGATTGATCCGCGTTGTTCAAAAGAGTCATACGAGTATAAAAACGCCACTGACATAAAAACGCACACGAAAGGATGTAAATCCAAAGCCTACTGCGAATCGGAGGCGGGAAAAAGTGTATGTAAAGAAGCCAACGGAGAGAAATGTGAATCGAGTTGCTGTGAAGGAGATCTCTGCAACACTAGCCTCGTTCCCGCGAGTCGATCAGCCAGTATGATTCTATGTAACCAAGTTTTTCCCCTCTTATTTTCCTATGTTTTTATTTGTTTTGCATAGTTATAATATCTTTTGTCTATCTTAGTTGATTACACACCGCGGTGTTTATTAAATTTTAAGGATTTCTGATGCGAAAGGCAGCGTTTATTTCAAAACTGATCGCATTTCTTACATCACTGATTACAGTTACTGTTTTAAATCATTTGTAAATACTATGCAAAAGAGAAAGATGTTTAAAGTTGCAATGTTACAACTTTAGAACCGGGAAGATAACTGAATGGAGCGAACTTTCGCAAAGACTTCTGGGACCGTAGCCTACGTGGCAGACGTTTGAAAGGGAAGGTGAAGGGAATTAGGGCGCGAGACCACGCGAGAGGGAGGAGGGAGGAGGGAACGGGTTTTCTTTCCTCCCTCCTCGCGCGCTCCCTCGCGTTTCTCTCGCGCCTAAAACTCCCTTTCCCATCCCTTTCAAACGCCTCCCACGCAGGCTACTGAGGCTGTTACTAACAGCAGGGGAAAAAAATAGCGCAGCGCGTAAATGACTTCAAAGTGACTAATTTGCAATTTTTGTCTGAGTTTTGCCATTTTTCTTATTTTAATGACAAGAGTCAGACAAAAGTGAGGAATTCGCTAATGTTAATTTCCGTTTGTTTGTCTGAGTTTCGGGTCTATAAACAGTAACTGCGCGATGCGCTATTGGCTATTAGTAAAATCCAACTAGTGGTCTATTATCAATGCTGCGTTCTGATTGGTTGAGCTACTACTAGCCTATTTGTTATACCCCACTAGTAGCGAAAAGAGCCGGCTTTGAAAACCAAACCAATGGTGGGTGAATTGCGTTTTGCTAGCTAAAGTTGTTTTATCTCCGGCGTATTTATGAGGGCGGCGTTTAATTGAGAAAATACCGTAGCCATCTGGTGTCTTTTCCTACTCGAAAGTTGCGTAAATAAGTTGTAAAGTAAACGTTCGTTTCAGTCTGCTGAGGGAAAAGGGATAATGCTGATCGAGGAGGGTGTTCTCGGTCGAGGCGGGCGGATAACAACCTCCGAGATATGCACAATTCTTCTTATCATACATAAGCTGAATTCAATAATTGTGTTACATTATGATTTTCTTGTCTCTTTGCTCATTTTGGTAATTACAGACCTCAATGACAGATTTCCCTACCGGCAGAGGTATTCTGCAGAAAGTTGAATACAGAACGCCGAATGACTCTGAGTTTAGTGATTAGCGTTAGGAAACTGATCGAGTCAGGTTCCATTTAGGGCAATTACTTTTCATCGCTATCTTTACTGACTTCGCACCGCTCTCCACTATCTGAACGCTTGGAACAGGCTAAATGCAGAACGCCGAACGACTCTGAAATTTGATTAGGTTAGATTTAGGAAACTGGGCGAATCAGGTTCTATTTAGATTTCATGGCCGCAGCATATACTTGTAGACCTCAAATAACCGCAAAAGGAATATGCAGGAGGACGTGACATGCCGAAACATCCAACTTCCGCTGTAAAACCTCTGAGAACCTTTCTTTCATTCGATGATTATAATCTTTCGAAGTCGCTAGCCCCATAGGCTCGCTCCTTTTTTTAATTTTATGACAGCCTGTTATTTCTTTTGTTTCAAAAAGTTAAATATTAATTAACCTGTATTTTTTGTATCTTTTAAGCAAAATAAAGGCCTTCGGATCATCTCGGGATAAATAAGCTATTCTATTGAAAAATTTTCACTTTTGATAGATCAATATACTTTTATAAAGTATTCCACTTCTAATATTATTTTAAACATGGAAATGCCAATAGTGAGCAGACACGCGAACGCCCAACTCAAGGCCAGGGCGCGACATTCCACACTAGAGACGGCTTATTCGTGTGAGACGGGTTATCCGTTTGATGATTCGCGTCAGATAGGTAATACGTCTCAATTTGAAAATGGAATAGTTTTAATTTTGAAATGAACAATTCCCCTGACTTTATCCGTCAATTTTGAAGTACGGAAGATGGATTATCCGTTACAGATAGCCTGTGTACCGCCGCAACCTCCCCGCAGAAAAAATCGGAGAAGGGGTGACTAACGCTGTGGAGGAGGGGGCGACTTTACACGGGCTGGTCTGGATAATCCCTTCCTAGCTCTCGTGTGAAAACGGCCGATAACAAAATTCCCGTGTCCAGTGTTTTTAATGATAGCGAAGGACTGTACAAAACGACTGCTTGTTGTTGCCTTGTCCGTAGACCTCATTATTTCGCGCGGCTAATGCGTTTCGGGTCGCGTGGTCCGAGCGAGTTCGCCACCGAAATGACTTGACCGAGATTTCGTGGAAAGACGCCGTACATGCAGGGACTAGGCATGGCAATGTCTACCGTAGCGTCAGAGAAAAACAGGAAAATGTTGTTTATCGGCAACGTGTTTTACAAACAGCTGTGCGTGTTGTTTCACTACTGTTTCGAGAGCGCGACCTTCTGAAAATCGCAAATATTAATTCTCAGCAAGAAGCCCTCTTTCGCTATAGGAAAAATTAGTTCCCCGAGATAGCGGCGGAAATGGAGCCTAGGTCTTGGTCAACACCTAAAAGGCTTTTAGCCTAACGTGCGTACGGAGTCAAAGTAGCTGGAAAATAAAAAACGCAACCATAAGCGAGTTAAGCACCTTCCTTAAAATTAACAAATCTAGGGGACAATTTCTTTTACGGTTAACTCTTTTTTACCCAATTTACGGCTAACGGTTAAAATTTTTCAATTTTTACGGCTATCGACTAAATTTTAGCAGGAGCCTATCAGGAGATTTTAGGCCGTTTTATGCCTATCGGTTAACCCCATTGAGACCCTCTTCTAAATCATTTGTGTCCACCACTGGTTTTTACAAAGCGTCAAAACGAGTGGTTTTTATCGTTTATACTACTACATGAGAAATTTCTGGAATTTGATTGGGTCAGAGCAGTGGTATTTCAGCTTAATTTGAAATACCTAAATGTGAAAATTACAAAACTTTTGCGGGTAGTAGTATAAACAAATAATAGCATGAGTTGTACGTGATATTTGGCATAAATACCACTCGTGATATTGCCTAACGGCTCGTGAAATTACCAATAACAATTTTGAAATATTACTTGAGGTATTTATGCCAAATATCACTACAAATCATGCTATAACCTATACTTATACTACTACATGAGAAATTTCTGCAATCTAATTGGCTTAGAGTAGTGGTATTTCAGCTTAATTTGAAATACCTACATGTGAAAATTACAAACCTTTTGTGGGTAGTAGTATAAACAAATAATTGCATGATTTGTACGTGATTTTTGGCATAAATACCACTCGCCTAACGGCTCGTGAAATTTCGTATAACAATTTTGAAATATTACCCGTGGTATTTATGCCAAATATCACTACAAATCATGCTATTACCTATACTAATTTTGTTAGAGAATATTTACTCTGGAGTAATTATGATTTTTTGCGGGAAAATTGTTTGAGGTAATTTTTATTTGCCGGAACATACTTTTGCGGATCGCTGGAATAAATCGCAAAAATTAGAACCCGCAAAAATTTCGTGCCACACGGTGTAAACTTCTCCGCATGCCCCCATCAAGAGGAAAAAACATGAATCTCCTGGGAAACACCACGTGATTTTTAACTAATATTAAACTGATGCCTAAATCGATCATTGCAGCCGAACCTTTTTCTCCGACATTTAGAGCTCCTGATAATTCATTGGTTCCTGCTCCAGTTCTTTTTAAACCTCCTGCGATATGAAGATGCTATTTGCAGCAGTCCTGATGGCCTGTGTGTCTGTAGGTAGGTCCAATCCCAGACAGTTACTCCGTCCGTCTGTAATACAATGTCCTCCGGCAGGACTTCGTTCTCGGGCTACGTTCTCCGGAACGACCATATTCAACCTTCTTATGAAACAGTGACTCCTGAGTTCAAACCTTTCACAATATAAGTGTATTATTACAAACTGGGCAACTACAAAAATTACAGGATGCAGGGCCAAATTGTAAGGATTTCACAGAAGTCAATGGCTCGCAGCTCATGACGAATGTTAAAAAATGACGAATATCTAACTATATAAAGTGTTAGGTAATACGGTGCATAGCTCGGTGGCTCGTCAGTCGAGGTTACTGAGCCTTTCGAAGAACGGGAAAGTTCAATATTTTAGTGGCTCTTTAGTTGGGACTGCTAAGCCACCGAGCCACTTGCTGGTTTATATAGCCATTTTATGTACTTTTATCAGTCTCACTGACGAGCAACCCTGTCACTCGAAAGTACAATATATAATTCTAAAAGAGTCTCCGCTTATTCTGTAGTTATGCAAATAGCTCTTGGATCAGTTTTTGCAAAGCTAGTAATTTGTATCTATATCGAAGCCGATCGATTCCATCGACTCTGATCATTTTTGTTGTTTTTTAGACTGGCACCCTCGCGATACCAGAGACTTTTTATGTGCGGTTTCCGGTTTCTGTCAAGTCAACTTCGTTATAACGAAGGGCCATTGGGTTGGCGAAATATTTTCGCTACATCGAGGCTTTCGTTAAGCGTTATTAGTTCTTTTCCATATAATTTGCTATTACTTGGGAGAAGAATATCGTTTGTTATACCGAGAACATCGTTATGATAGGTTCCATCTAGGTTTTCGAGGGAGCGGTCTTTCTGCGGGTTAAACGTTTAGTTTTTCTCGTTTTTGTTTTAGCCATGTTGAATTCGAGTTTCGAATATTGGCACACTTTTTCTCGATACTTCCCCTTTGTTGTAACTACAGATTCTAACAATGTTGCCTGTAACTTTTATTCTGTTCTCGCGCTTTTATTTTGGTCGAACTTTTCGGGAACCTGAAAAATAAGAGCGAACAACTTTTTTCAAATGCAAGTTTGCTGGTTAGATCTGGTGCTAACGAATTCGGTAACAAAGGCTTTAGCGGCGACAGACCGTTGTATTGTTCTACAGTATTCATATTGGGTTGTTTCATTGTGTTAAACACCCTGGTCTCTACGTTAAAGCTAGACAAAGTTCAAGAGGTTTTTTAAGTTTGCTTGTTCCGCAGAAACGACAACCACGTAAAGTTCTACTTCATCGACTTGAAAATAGTACGACCAAAGCCCGATCTCATGGTTTGTTTTCATGAAATAAAATCGTGACTGATGGTAGGACAAGGTGTTTAATACTTAGCTTTGATTAGACTGTAAAAATTACCCTTGGGAATTATCTAACTCACTGCAAACAAAAGCTGCCCGCTCCGGCACTATGCCGAATAGCTTTTGCACCGCCGCGAAAATCAAACCGGATAGGACTTCTGTTCACAAATTTGAACGGTTGTGGCGGCGCGATTGCGGTCACGGAACTGCGAGGCTGCGCCGCGCCGATCTGGAAAAAGGAACTTTAGAGTAGTGTGAACACCTATTCGGCCCATTAGCGGAAGTAAATAGGCAGGAGCGAGGACTGGAATGAACTCACTGTGATGGAAGTGAATATTTAGGAGTGAAGACTGGAATTTAGTGCATCAAACCCTCTCAAGCAACCGCGCCGTCACCGCGCCGGCAGGATGTCCGATTGGGCTGCCCTGGGTAGTTGCTGTTCATACGGTACCACACCACGAAAAGCTATCAGATATTAAGTGAACACAGCGTCAGCATGTCTTGTTTGTGGCACTTGCAATTCAGAGTGTCGTCTACAATTTTGTTCACATAAGAGACATATCACTTGAGCAAAGATGGGAAAGGACATTATTCAACCTTCTCCAAACGAAGGCCATTCAACAAAAGGCCAGAGAAATTCGGGCAAAAATCATGTAAGGCCTAGGCCAAACGACCAAATTTTCATGAAACGAATCTAACTCTAATTTGGGTCGATCTTATTTTAGTTAAGATGGTCTGTTGGGTAAGACTTCGAACACAGGACGCGTCAAACCAATAAGCTGGATCGTACCAAAACCAATTTTAATGAATTTTCTCCTGGCTCAAACAAGACTAAGTATAAATTATCAAACAACTTTTTAATTTGTTAGTTTAGTCCGTCGCATGTGGAGATCGACCGTTTGCCCGGACACGATCTTCGGACGTTCTATCCGCCTGAAGCAGAAGGATAGAACGTGTTGGACGATCCAAACTCTTTCAGACGAACCCAACTGAGCCAGACGTCGAACGTTTCATGGACTTAATTCACTAAGTTTGGTTCGTCTCATGAAAAATTCGACGTTTGAACCAGGCTAGGCCTAAATTATAAGGCTACAATGTTGGGGGGAGTTGCTGCGTCCGTTCGTTGGCAGTGGTGTGCTCTCGGCCAATGAAAAGGAAGAAAATTTTGCAACAAATGATAAAGGCTATTATTATCATCATCATCATCATCATCATCATCATCATCATCATCATCATTATTGTTATTATTATAATTATTATTATTATTATTGTTATATAAAGTCTTTTTCTGGGTTTCATCGCTGTCAAAGAGATATCATTTGATGCCATGGCATTTTTTTTTTCAGCTTTTGGGCTCCAATGTTACAGTTGTGCCAGTTTTAAAAGCATGGACGAGTGTCAAGCTGCCCAGGATAAAGTAAACTGCAGTTCATCTTTGATTGATCCCCGTTGTTCAAAAGAGTCATACGAGTATAAAATCGCCACTGACATAACAATGCACACGAAAGGATGTAAGTCCAAAGACTACTGCGAATCGGAGGCGCGAAAAAGTGTATGTAAAGAAGCCAACGGAGAGAAATGTGAATCGAGTTGCTGTGAAGGAGATCTCTGCAACACTAGCCTCGTTCCCGCAGTCAGCGTCCTGCTAATGGTGTCATGCGCACTTGTGGCATTTTCTTGATGAAGACGTGAGAATAATCGCTTCAGTCGATCAGCCAGTATAATTCTATGTAACCAAGTTTTTTCCCTCTTATTTCCCTAATTTTTTATTTGTTTTGCATAATATCTTCCGTCTATCTTGGTCGATTACACGCCGCGGTGTTTATTAAATTTTAAGGATTTCTGATGCGAAAGGCAGCGTTTATTTCAAAACTGATCTGCTTTCTTACATCACTGATTACAGTTACTGTTTTAAGTCATTTGTAAATACTATGCAAAAGAGAAAGATGTTTAAAGTTCCAATGTTACAACTTTAGAACCGGGAAGATAACTGAATGGAGCGAACTTTCGCAAAGACTTCTGGGACTGTAGCCTGCGTGGCAGGCGTTCGAAAGGGAAGGTGAAAGGAATTAGGGTGCGAGACCACGCGCGAGGGAGGAGGGAGGAGGGGAACGGGTTTTCTTTCCTCCCTCCTAGCGCACCCTCTCGCGTTTCTCTCGCGCCTAAAACTCCCTTTCTCATCCCTTTCAAACGCCTGCCACGCAGGCTACTGGGGCTGTTACTAAGGACAGGGGAAAAAATAGCGCAGCGCGAAAATGACGTTAAAATGACTAATTTGCAATTTTTGTCTGAGTTTTGCCATTTTTCTTATTTTAATGACTAGAGTCAGACAAAAGTGAGGAATTCGCTAATGTTAGTTTCAGTTTGTTTGTCTGAGTTTCGGGTCTATAGATAGTAATCGCGCGCAGCGCTATTAGCTAATAGCTGACCGGCGCGATCCCAGTAACGATTTCAGAAACAACAGCGGGACGCATTTTGGCTTCAGTTCCCTTTTCGCTTCTAAAGCGGCGAATGCCCTCCCGCCCCTGCCGCATTCCAAGAAGAGAAAGAGCCTTGGGAACGAGGTTGGTCGCATTCTTTCATCCGCGCCGTTTATTCGAGGATCGCAGTTATTAGTTTTTTTTTTATCTACGGCGTATTTATGAGGGCGTCTAATTGAGAAAATACCGTAGCCGTCTGGTGTCTTTTCCTACTTGAACGTTGCGTAAATAAGTTGTAAAGTGAACGTTAGTTTCATTCTGCTCAGGGAAAAAGGATAATGATGATCGAGGAGGGTGTTCTCGGTCGAGGTGGGCGGATAATAGCCTCCGAGATATGCACAATTCTTCTTATTATACATAAGCCGAATTCAATAATTGTGTTACATTATCATTTTCTTGTCTCTTGGCTCATTTTGGTACTTTTACAAACCTAAACGACAGATTTCCCTACCGGCAGAGGTATTTTGCAGAAAGCCGAATGCAGAACGCCGAACGACTCTGAGTTAAGTGATTAGGGTTAGGAAACTGATCGAATCAGGTTCAATTTAGGGTGATTAAACTGGGAAAACAGGCCTGAAACTTAATTCACTAAGTTTCCTAACCCTAAACACTAAACTTCAGAGCTATTCGGTGTTCTGCATTCGTCGTACGCCAAATGCAGAACGCCGAATTACTCTGAAGTTTAGTGATTAGGTTAGGTTTAGGAAACTGGGTGAATGAGGTTCTACTTAGGGTCATTATACTAAAAAAACTGATCTGAAAGTTGATTCAGTCATTTTCCCAGCCTAGTCCCCAGGCGTTTTCGGCTCGGTCATTCCTGGACTCATACCATGAGCTCATACCATGAGCTGTGACGTCACCGAGAGATCCTAATTACTAAACTTCAGAGTCATTCGGCGTTCTGCAAAATACCCTTGCCGTTTCCCTACCCTTTCATACATTATTTCGTTAATTGACATGAGCCATCATTGGGAATACCACCCCACCCCACCCCCCCCCCGATCCCCGGGGGCAGTACCACCATTGACACGATCGCATCTTCCTAATATGGCAAGCGCCAGCTGGTTATGAAGAATTTGCCGTGGGGATAAAGCCAATCAGAAACGGTGAAATATTTTGAATGAATCAGTAAGAAATAGTTACAATTTATTTTGGAAATGCGGATGTGGTTATTTTGATCGGTCATCAGTCTAAAAATTCAAGATATTAACTATGGTTTCATTCGCCTTGGAAATCTGGACTTCAATTAATTTGAAATCGGGATTTCAGATTTTGCCAAAAAAAATGAATTTCAACACCGAAAAGAAATCTATCCATATTTCATGTATTTCTTCTTTACCGTTTGGTAAACTCATGGGAACTCACCCTGCGCCGGCAGAGCCTCGTTCTGTCTTCTTGGGCGAGGAACCAAAAGAAAGGCTCTTCTAGCAAGATGGAGGGAACTGAGGAAAAAATGATTGGATAACCTGTGGTTCAAACTTATTTGACTGGGAACTCACCCTGCGAGCAAAGGCTCCTTTTGTCTTGTTCACCGAGGAAGGAAAAGAAAGGCTCTTGTAGCAAGATGGAGGGAACGGAGAAAAAAATATATGATTGGGTAACCTGTGGTAAGGACTTACAGTCGACTCTCGATTACTCGAACCTTCAAGGGTAATCGAAAAAAAGTTCAAGTTATCGGGAGCTCAAAGAAAATAGCCGGGACTACGGGAAAAGGCAGTTTTCACTGCACAGTGAACATTTTAAGTAGAAATGTTAAGTGAAAATTGAAAGATACTTCTAGATTATAAATCAGAACATAAGGTAACCAAAAATTGCCTAAATAGAGCACGCGTTTTACTGTTTATGACAAGTAGTTTCAAGTGACAATCGACATCAGCGTCCACTACAACACGTCAATGGGAAATTCAAAATTCAATGTTTCGGACGCCAGTACACTGTTTTTTCTCGACTTTTTGACAGCTCAAAACATGGTTCGAGCTATCGAGGGTATAACTATATAGAAATGACCTGAGGGGAAACACAAATTACTTGGAGTTAGCGGGAGGTTCGAGTTATCGAACGGTAATCCAGGGGAAATCGATTTTGGTTTGAGTTAGCGTGAGGTTCGAGTTAGCGAGGGTTCTAGTTATCGGGAGTCAACTGTATTTGACTGACAGGAAAAGAGAGAAATTCTCAGGAGCAAAGTAAATTAAAATATTTTATTGTAAAAACAAAGCTGGGACGATGTTTGATGATAACTTGTTTTCCGTTAAATATTTTAATTCATTTCCGAGCAAGCACCAAATTAAAACCCTGGATGCATAAATTAGCTCAAAGTTACTATGAAATGTTACTATGAAAATTACGGAAAATTGCTCCAAACAATTATACCATAAATAAATATATCTGGATAACTTAACACCTACATAATTAATATCTGATATAATACTACTAACGAACAACAAGCTGTGAGAAAGTGTAATAAAAGTAGATAACATTACAAAACTAAACCTTATCGACTCTGCCGTTTGAACGTATAAATATTTTGCCAGAAAAATAAGTTCTTAACTGGGATTTTTTCTGTTGATCAAATACAAAATTCTGATCTACTTGAACCTAACGGCTCGACAAGTGTTAGGACACAATGCGAGCCATATGAAAAAAAAAATACAAAACTCGGTAATACGGAAAACAATTAAAACTGAAAGCTAACCATTGTTCATACAGCTATTCCGAGGACGGTTGTCGTTAAAAATGTGCACGCGACAATCCCGAAAGGTAATATGGGATATGATCAATACCCTGTTCCTGGCAGTGTAGCTGTCGAACCTATTTTTTTGTTGCTTTCCTTTAGAACTTGCAAACATATGTCCATGGCCTCTCGTGCCATTCTCTCAAATTTCTTCGAAAACCAGTGAACTCAAAACCACCCACAATACCTTTCGGGTTTGTCGCATGGACTTCATCCGACAACCTTCCATATCTTCACTCGCTTAAGACTTCCCAGTTTCAAATTTGGCAGCTTTACTAATATTAAGGCGCTCTTGTCCATGTCAAAAGTTTTAAAAAAACCGTGAAAAGGTCTATTATTACCACTATCATTACCCCAGGTTAAAAAATTATTCATAAAGACACAAAACTTGTTGAGACAATGAGAACAAAGTTAAATGTTTTAAAATCTGAAATGGAAACTAGGTTCGTGGTTCTTTCCCTAATCATAGGAAGGGTGTCAAGCGAAGAAATCTGGCCATTTCAAGGGTTCGTCACAGTTTCACTGTTACTGGTGGATGTACACCCTGAAAAAATACTCTTCTTTCTTAAGTGTGAAGATTGTCAGGAGTGTATCAATAATTTGGGGCCAAAATGACGGAAATTAAGGTTGCAGAAATTAACATTTGAAAAATTTAACGCAAATTTTTGAAATTAACGTTAATTTCATGATTAAGCGTTGTGACCCAGGCCTCATATGAGAGATGGACTCGCAAGGGTGATGAGCTTTTGCCTAAAAGTTGTTAAACTCCTGTATGTTTAACTAGAGGGTGATGTTTTAAGGAGAGGTTTGATATCACTGACAGGGTCACTAACAGGTCACACTCACCGTCACTGACAGGGTCTCTAGCGTTAACATTACAATAATTTTTCATGATGATAGATGAGGATGACTGTACCTTAGCATGTAAGTGTCTGTGTTTTCTTGGTTCAGAACCAATAAAAAAAATTTACGAGCAAAAAAATCCCGACTTGTCAAGGACAGATTAAGCTTATGCTTATGGTTTTCTAAAGGAAAATTTTTGGCAAAGGCCAATTAAATAAATTTTTTCCACTAAATGTAAATTACACCACAGATTCTTGGTCAACTATGACACCCTCATCATCGGTAACGGGATTGCGTTTGCGCACTTCACTCTCATTTTCACCAGGACAGCACTTTTGAGCAGAGCAGTTCTCATTCTGCCCACACGCAAGGACACACTCAGTGTCTTTCTTGTCCTCACAAACAAACTCGGGTTGAATAGTAGTGGAGTGGATGCCTTCGTTGTGAAAGAATCTCTTAATCTTGTTGGCAATGCCCATGTATTCGTCTGGAGATCGGCAAGTGATGTGGGCAGACGCTGACCAAAAAATTAGCAAAAAAGGTTACATAGTTGACAAATAATATAAAAAAGGCATGTCTGATTGACCTTATTCTGGAATAACAATTAATGGAATAATCTCTAGAAATCACTTATTTTGCCGTTTTGTTGCATCCTATTGTGTCGAAGTCTGCTTGAAATAAAATCTTCTGATATTTGTAGCATTCAAGTGGTAAAAAAAAAAATAAATAAATAACGGTACAAGAGATGTGCAACAACAATTGGACATAATCTTATTCTGCAACACAGCCTATGGAGCACATCCTGAGGGGGTGTTTACGTGAGAAAACTCGCACTGGCGCGAGTTTTATACCGGGATGACTTTTTTATTTTGTATCGCGTTTACATTATGACTGGGTCATTTCATATCTCGTTATTTGAAGGTACATTTCATGTTAATAAAATACATGTAAGATTCCAAATCGCAAACGTTACGCATGCGCTACCCGTTCCAGTCTACGGGCAGACCGATTTCACACCGACACGTGTGGTCGTTTCGCGTTTACATGATAACGTTGTGAGATTTCGTATCGGAGTGAAATTCTCGCCCCGGTACAACAACCGGGGTGGCTCACACTGGGGCGACTCGCGCCGGCATGACATTTTGTGGTGGTATCATGTAAACAAATGTAGAGCCATGAGAGGGAACAGGAGTGAACTCACTCCAGCGCGAAAGTCGCCCCGGTGTCATGTAAACAGCCCCCGAAAATATTTTATGAAGGAGAGTGTGAGTATCATGAAAAAAGTACTTGATCTATACTCTTGCTGTCTGTGCAGCACAAAAAGGCATTTGAACAACAAGGAAGAGAAAATCCCCAAAGCGTATAGAGAAAACCAAAATCAATAGCTTTTGAGTAACTTTTTTTCCCAAGTAACACTGAAAGATGAATATACCCACCCAACATTTTCAAGCTTTACAATGAAGTCCCCAGGTTGGCAATTACTTTATGGTTGACAAGGCTGTGCTCTAAGGAAATTTAAGAGAGCCCAGTGCTCTGAACCTGTAAAATCTAGGGTGCCCAGCATCTTTGTAGGAATAATAAGAGACTTTCTAGTCACCCAAGAGCAAACTGTGGGTGCCAGGGCCCACCAGGCTCCGCCAGGTCATTAAAATACGACATGGCTTATCTTTTTTGATACTTTGGTTAACTGCATCTAGTTACATGTTATGTATTTTATTTTCACCACAAATAACTGGGGAATATGTTTTAAATTTTCCAGTTTAGTTACCAAAATTTCAATGATCACTTTATTACAACTTGAAAAACGTGATGAACCTTTTCCCACGGTGGCTTCTCACTTTAAAAAGTCAACATGAACAATGGCACTTAATGTAAGATATTTAAAACTGATTTTTTTGATCCAGATTATTTCTGTGCCCCACTTGCTCCACTTTGGTAAATCTACGATGCAGTCATGTCTTTTGTTTTTACTTATCAAATGTCCCACAATCTTAGACAAAATGGACGCAAAGTTCACACCCTGTCCCCCTTCCACAATATAAAGGGTGGGAAAATGGCACATTTAGACTCTTGTGTGGCGTCATCCATGACTTTGGCAGGCATGGGGGTTTGCTGCTCCATTTTATTCAATCCAAGATTGTGCTTTGGACAAAATACATGTATTTAGAAAACTGTGACCCCCTAACCCCCCAACTCCCTTCCACTTCAAATCAAGGGAAACTGACTGGTTTTGGTTTCTGTGTAACTTCATCTTTGATTTGAGGGGGATGAGGGTTTGCTTTTCCATTTTATTCTCTCCAAGATTGTAGGTTCAAAACTCACCAATTATTTTATTTCCAGCCAACTGCCAAACATGGAACTCATGAACACTGAGAACTCCTTCCACATGATCCAACAAACGATCTTGCACCTCCTTGATTTTAATATGAGTTGGAACAGTTTGAAGCAAGATCAGTGATGACTCTCGCATGAGTGGGATGGAGGTCTTCAAGATCAAAAAAACCAACAGCATGCTCATGGCAGGATCAACATAAATTGTCCACTTGCCCGAAGCAAACTTGATTATTAAGGCACTAATAATGACAATGACAGATCCCAGTGCATCACCAAGAACATGCAGATAAACACCTCGCATGTTTAGTTGAGCACTTGACTTGACTTTCATGTTGCTCCCCTTAGACTTGGTGACAACAGTGTGTACCGTTCCATTTTTACCTGACAAATATACTGTAGACAGAACAACAACAACAACAAAGAGCATTGAGTGGCTATTTAGATAAAATGGCATTTTTCATAAGAAAGTGTTATTAACTGGTATGTTTACTGTTAATTTACTGATTTTCTACTTTATTATCATATATTTTATATCTAGCCACATCCACCCTCAGACAAGAGACACCACACTACCAGAAAATGCGCTTGGATAAAATCTGCTTGTAAAACAGCTTATTCTACCAGCCTATGTTCAAAGCATGTAGCGCACACTAGCCTGGGGCTAATGGATTTTTCTATCATGAGGGCTAGCTAGTGAATTCTGTTCTTAACTTGGGGAATTCAAATATACAAAACAAGTGTAATCAGTACACATCAAAAATTTTTTGGCGGGCTAGTTGAAATGACTTTTTGGGTTAGTGCAAGCTAGCTACAGCTTGCCCGAATGGTAAGCTGTAAAACTGATTTTCTTTGCACCCCGCTGCAATGCTTGTAAAAAATATAGTTACTCTGCCTGAAATTCTACTTGGACAACTGGATTCTGCTTGAATTCTCTGCAGTAGCCAAAAAATCGCAAGTCATTTAGTGAGGAGGGGAGCATGGGTTAGTCTCTTACATGCAAACTATAAAGTCACTGTGCATAGCAAAATTTATAATTTATTCATCTTCCTTTGAACAATATCACTAAATATATTTGAAACAGATCTTATTAACTATATGCATTAATTGCTATGGATTTGCAGGTTTTTATTTTCTCAAATAACTAATACCGTAAAATTCCGAAAATAAGCTCCGGGGCTTATATTTTTCAAAGGCCCTTTTCGAGGGGCTTATTTTTGGAGGGGCTTATCTACGGAGGAAAATTTGTGTTTCAAAATCGTTTGGGCTAGCCTTATAGCTGGGAATGAATATACCAATTTTGCTTTGTTTTACTATATATTTGAGAGCTATTTTCCAAGTACAAGCCCCCGGGGGGCTTATATTTTGGAGGGTCGATTTAACGGAGGGTTTTTTGCGTTACCAGTTTGGGGGGCTTATATTTGGAGGGGCTTATACATGGAGGGGCTTATTTTCAGAATTTTATGGTATGGTATTATTAGTGTCACTGATGTTTAGTTATTCTGCTCAAAAATAAATATGGCTAAAAACACCTTGTTCTCAAAAACTGCTTACTGAGAATGGGAATAGGCAGTACGTGTCTATTTGTAGTTTATCAAGTTCTCTGTTCTTTGAAGAAGTACAGTTTTGGAGAGCTGTTCTTTGAACAATTATTTTTCCCATTATTTCACCCAGCAAGACAAAATATCTGAGAAATTGTGGCCTTTTTTCTCAGAAATCCAGTTATTGTCTCACATTATTTTCCCAGATAAGGGTTCGCCATCGCAAAAAGAGCCTACATGCAAAAATTCAGCCTTTCTGTACGATGCATACTCAGCCCTTTTAAGTCCCAAGAGTGGCCAGTATTAATTTTCACCTCACAGTATTAATACATCATCAAGAGAAACTGTTATGAGAATAACTGGAATGATCACCAAAGGGAAACTGCCTTGATCTTTTATTAAATTCTCTCAACTAAGTCTTCAAGGAAATGTACGGAGATAAGGCTGCAGGATTTATAATGTGCATATTGGGGCTGAAAGGATAAAGGCAAAATTGTCACATGCATCCATTTTTATTCACCAGTGAGGGCCCTTAATAAGGGAGGGTAGCCAGCCAAAACCGCTGGCTAGTTAGCCATCCTTAGCTGGTTACTTACGCCTCCTGCCATAACTGCTAACAAAAAGTAAGCACCATCGAATAAAATTATGTTGTAAAGCATCCATTTCCCAGTTTGGAAAGACATTAAACACATAATTTATTTAAACAGGTTTACATCTGTGAAACATTTGAACTGTAAGGTGTCATAGAAACCCTGGAACATTGTGATGACAATGTTCCCAGTCAGCATTCTGACCAAACAACATAGCATCTGTGGTGGAAAATACCTCTTGAAAACCCCTGGAAATGCCATTTCTGAGACTATAAATTTCAAAATGTCCCTAGATGCCTCGGCCCTCAAGAACATGTACCTTTGGAGCGAGTTCCAAAGCCACCTAGTATTCATTATCAGCCTGCTACTTAAAAGCTTTTTGACAGCCCCGATTCACTGGACCCTTCAATTATTGCAGTTAGCCATATTGTTCTAGTGCTCAGCAAATAAGAAACATGTTAAGTTTAAAGGGACTATGTGACTCACACACCCTACACAAAATGCTCCTGTAGAATTATGACAAAGATATCTGGCAAATTTCATCAGGGAACACTTAAACCATAATGATCAGGCGCGGATCCACACCGGCTTCCAGCGTTTTACGGAAATCGGTCAGATTTTTCATAATAAATATATTTTCAACAAAAATTAAATAAAACACTTTCCAAATTGAACTCTGGCCAATATCCCGTCCAAATGACTCAGAAACCGATGCAGGAAAGAGGACTTAAAGGAGTTAAAAATCCAAGAACTCCCCTGGGGGAGCCTGCCACTGGACCCTCTAGAAGCTTGCGCCTTCGGTGCTCGTTTAGGAAATCAGTCAGTATTTATCCTAGATCCGCGCCTGATGATATTTTTTTTTTGGTTATTTTTGTAGGTATAGCAGAAAAAGTTGGCCCAAGTTTCAATCCATGTCCATCCTTGCTATCCGTGGCAAGAGACAGCAGGAAACCATTTTAGTACCTAAATATAGTCTGAAATAACAAAACCAGACGATTATTTTTGGAATTTAATTGATGCGAAGACACGTTTTAGCTTTCAAAAAGAGAGCAAATATCATGACAGTGCCTCTTTTATAATAAGAGGGAGTCAAGATGGTGTCAGGAACAAACCGGTTTATACAGGCATGCATTTCTAATGTCATCACGTACTTCAAGACTCTACATAACCTTTTTTACAAAATTGGTTAGGCTAAAATAGGCCAACATATTAAAAACCTGCAAGATGTAAATGCTTCTCAAATCTCATTCAATCACAAAAATTAGTGTTAGGATGGTGAAAAGAAACTTTACAAACTGGTTTATAAAACCATGCATTTCTAATTAAATTTGCTACATGTCATAACATAATTTTAAGCATGCTATAATAACATTACCTATTTTTTATATAACAATCTTTTTTCATTACTAGACAAGTAAGGCTAAAATGGACCCAAATAGTAGGGACGTGCAAGAAAGTAAATGCTTCTCAGTTCAGAGTGACTATGGTGAAGTGGAACTTAAAAGACGGGTTTATGCACTCATGCATTTCTAATAAAATTACCGACATGTTTTCACGTAATTTAAAATTCCCTATTTTTTAACTAACAATAATCCTTTATTAGCGGTAGGCTTAAAATAGACCAAAATGTTAAGATTGTGCAAGAATAATGAAAAGTAAATGCTACTCAGTTTAGTGTCCACTAGAAAAATCAGTGTCCTTTGATCAAAATAATTTTAAAAAAGAAGGTAAATTTTCTCACCTTCAGTTTCCGGGACGAGGCCATTAGAAGCATCACTGTTCATTTCATTTTCGTCCTCTTCTGATCCTGATTGACTTCCGGTAGATTTTTGATCGACTCCGTTCGAACCATTTTGCACTTGAATTAGCTCATTCAATTCAGTGCCATTTTGAACACCACCACCGTGGCTATGTCCATGGCCACCGTGGCTGTGACCATGCCCATGTTGATGAAACAAAATCAAACCGACAACATTTATGAGCAGGCCAAGAGTACCAACGATCAGGACCAAGACGGGATTGTGAATCGACTCAGTTTCCACGAGTCGCTTTAGTGATTCGACCAAAATCGAGAAACAAAGCGCGATCAGAAACACAGCGTTCACCAAAGCACCGAGCACCTCTGCTCTTTGCCAACCAAAGGTGTTTCGTTCCGTTCTCTGACTACGTTTGGAGTATCTCAAAGCGAAAAAGCCAATTATAAGTGACATGATGTCGGATAACATATGAAACGAATCAGCCACAAGAGCCATCGAATTCGTCGCATAACCAACAATGATTTCTACCAAGAAAAACGAGCTGGTCATGAATAGCATGGACAAGACACTGCCGGTTTTTCCACAAAATCTTTTTCTAAGCTGTGTTCGTCTTGATTCAACCATTTTGTTTGCCTACAAAATAATTTCACAATGAAAAAATTTTTTCTGTTAACTAAAGTATGAGTGAAAGTGAAAGATTCACTGACGATATGAATTCTGATTAACTATACCGCGACCTAAATACTGTATCACTAAACTCAAGTGAAAATCACGAGGGGGATAGAAATAGAAAACACGCGCTGTTTTGATTCAATTTCATTTTTTCCATTGTCATCTATTCTAAAAAAAGCAACTTAGAATAAGTCTGTTTACAACACAAGTTATAGAAAAGTCTCAATACCTGCATAGCAAACACAATGGCCGTCTTTCTTCTTGGAATCAACACAAGATTCAAACAGATGAAAGCGAAACTTTTTAGACAAACCGCTCCGATGTTTACGGTATGCATTTCGTGCTACGTAACATCGACCAAATATCGACATTATTTGCAACATTTTCATTGGACGATAAGTTGGACGATATAAGTCGGAAAATCTTCGGAAATGTTCGACTAAACCAGCGGCTACAACAAATGCCCGAATAGTACGTCATGTAACATTCCGCTTTACGTCTTCATTCCGACCATGACTCACTTAACTCTTCTCTGTCTTATTTTTCTTTCTTCTCCAAAAATTCTCAAGTTTGTTTTCGGGTCTGATGTGCCAGGCGATTGCTTGAAAGACGGCACCTGTGAAAAGGAGCAAGGAAATCACGAGAAAGAAAAGTACAGAGCAAAAGGTAACGATTGCTTTTTAAAGCTTTGATGAAATCAAAGGTTTGAACAAACTTGAAAACACCTGATTATTAAGCCTGTATACATTAACGTATCATAAGTGCTTTTTCTGAGAACTTAAGTCTGTTACTTTTTTACAGACAACGTGTGTGCGTTTTAGTGATGATCATTTTAAAAAAGACAAGCTTATATGGTATCGATCCAGTGGCAAATCCAAACCTTCAGAAAAGTGGGGGGCCGGTAATCCAGATCCTGAGATAAGGAGGGGGCCCGGTCTCCAAAAAATTATAAGGGGAGGGGCGGGCCCCCTGGGCCCCCCTCCTGTAGATCCACCACTGCAATCACACCACCCTCTGGCCCTAGGCCTGGTCCAGTATAATTTTTGCGGGCGACAAGAGGAGCCCACAAACCTAATCTCCAGGTTGTTATTACGCATGCGTCACATGTATGTGGCCAGCATTCATTTGGGCTTCCACTAAGAATGAATGGAATGCACACGACGTAATTTGATCACGCGTGTTTTGACCTTCTATCCTCGTAATCAGATGTTGCGTGTTTTGACCAACTGTCATGTGAAACTTTCGCAAAGTACAGCGTTGGAGCAAAAGCGTTTGGACCTCTGATCGGTGTCGCCTGCATTTCCTAACCTTTGGTTATTACTAGTAATTAAGCTTATTGTTATAATTTTCATCATAATTAAGTCAGACCTTCCAATTTTCACGGTTTGACCTTGAGACTCCCTGGGTTTGGGCAGTCAACTCATGGTCTCACAATTTAGCCTCCAAATCTCATGGTGACACAGAAAATTGCCAGACAATTCCGGTAGGAATGGCTTGATATCAAAAAAACTGTCATCATAATAGACAAATATTGTATCAATTTAATTTTGGAGGGAAACCTGTATCCAATTCCAACCTCATTCCTGTAAAATGTAGGTTCGCTAAGGTCTGTGGGAAAACCCTAATAGCATACTCACTTGGCTACTTGCTGTCCTATCGACCTGAATAGTAAAACAGAATCTTCTCATTACTCCCAAAAGAGCAACAAGGCAGTAAAACAGAGACCACTGATAGGGTAAAGAATACCATGACAATTTGAATAATCTGCCTTTTTAGTTTTATTTGAAATATTTTCGAAATCTCCAAGTTTGAGATCCCAATCTCTAGGTTTTTGGGGGCTTTTTTCAAACACTCCAGATCTGCATGGTTCAGGGGTTGGAAGGTCTGTTAATTAACAATCATTGCATAAGGCCATGTGAAAAATTGCACAGATCGAGGGGGCTGTTATCCACCAAGGCTCAAGGCTGAGGTGGATAACAGCTTTTGAGATCTGCATAATTCTTCATATCAAATGAACATCAAATTTAATAATAAAATAATTGTATTACAGTCAAACTGGGCAATCTCAGGTACCACTCCCAGTGATTAAATTCTTGTCTTGAGTTCATTCTAGCTACAGCTTGCTCAAACAACAACTAGGTAATATCTTGGTCCAAGAAACTTTGATTAAATTTTTTTACACAGGCAGCAGACTTGCCTTTACTGGTTACAAGCCTGTCATTAGTAGCGATAACTTTGTCAAATGCTTGTATTTTTTGTCTGTATTTAAATTAGAATCTTGGAAAACCTACCTTTCCAAAATAGAGAAAGCCACATCTCAATATACAGACTGCACAAACAAGAAATGTGCCTGCTACAGTGATGTCATTGATGATGATTTGAGAGTTTGGAGGGACAAGGGAGGAATAACAAAGAGCGATTTTGATGAAGCTGCAGGCCGTGGAGTCCATTATCAAATTATTAATCATAAATTATACAGAGAAAAGGACTGCATGTTTCCATTCAGGTCAGTTTAAAGTCATCAAAGGATAATTTGGGTACATGCTTAAGTGAATTCAGTCTCCATGTAGATTGGCAAATGGACAATGACATACAATAAAGAGTATGTATATTCCGTTTTCTGGGACCATGGCAGGATTAGCTCAGTTGGTAGAGTGCTTGTCTGCAGAGCAGTGGGTTGCAGGTTCGATTCCCAGGGCCGGACCAACACCCCGAGCCTTAAGATAACTGAGAATTGAAGGTACTCCCTTTGCACTGCAAGCGGCTAGACCTTCACATGGCTGCGATGATCACTCATGTAAACTGGCGGTCCCGTCTCCAGCTGGAGATGTAAAAATAGTATCCCCAATTAGTACTTTTGTGCAAAATACCTTGACACTCAAATAACATGCATTTTTTTTATATAATGAGATTGACATCTGTTAACAACACTATTTTCTATTGTTTTCGTAATTTTTTATGCCGAAATACAACGTTACAGTTGGCCAATGGTAAAATCTAAGACTTGCAGAGGCATGGTGACCAAGTGGTTTAAAGCTCTGACTTAAGATCTCTGGTCCTTGAAAACGTTTTTGCTGTCTTGTTTCCTTAGACAAGAAATGCTACCCCACTTTGTCTTTGCTAACCAAAGTGTGCAAACCATTTGATATACTCCTGTTGCAGCCCTTTTATATACCACCTTTAACTGAAAACGTACCGCTATTGTATATCTTCTATTGACAAATTTAAATGGTACACCTTTCTCTAACCTAGTTGCTGTAAATGTGCTGTGTTTTAGATGTGAAAAAATCATAAAACCAGAACATCTTCTGTTAGCCCTTTTGGGCGTTTTTACAGGCCAAAATGACCAGATTCTCCTACCATTTAATCATATACTTCAACAAGTGAAATACCTACCTTTTCATATAAGGCTTGAAAAGCTTCACCTTTAAGGTGGAGCCTTTATAGAGAGTAACCCCCCTCCCCCGGCTCTGCTCAAGACTAGCATCCCAGGCCATACAGGGGGTAGAAGTAAATACTACATAACTATAAGTGCTTTGTGTTACTAAAACCAAGTTAAGCTGTGGCAATGGTGGACTGCCTTCACCTTGTTTTATATTTGTCACCTCTAATTTATAAGCTGTGATAATATTGTTATTTTCAGATGTAAAGGAGTGGAACACTTTATTTTGAAGATGATTGACAAACTTCCAGATATGGAGATGAAGATCAATGTTAGGGACTATCCACAGGTACGTGCTTATCATCCCGAGTCAATCTTTGGTTTGACAAAATATCAAGCCCTAGGATTTCAAATCCCATGGATACCATGCCCAGAGATCATGGGAAACCATCTGTAACAATTTTTTGGCTCCATGAAAATTCATGGGAACCCACTGTTATTTAATCTTCTAATGTACGGAAATATGTTGTTAATCATACCGGTACTTAAAAATTAAAGAACATTGATTAGTGTGTCCTATTATTTACAAAAAAAACTTCAGTGTCTATTAAAGTGACAGAAGAAAATCAATTTAAGTGTTAAATGTGTGTACATTAGTGTCTAAAGCTCCAGACTCCTCTTTGATCCAACTGAAGAAGTATACTCACTTGAAATGTTCGCCACAGATAGACCTATTCGGCTAACTCAATGTTGTACCCAATTCAAATCTCACAGGGTTAAGATTCTTTGTGTATTGTATTTGCATTATAATGTTGCATTCACATTTAAATGATATGGAATTTCCTGAAACAAAACGTTTTATCCCCAAAGGGTTTGAATTGGGTACAACGTTGAGTTAGGCGAATAGGTCTATGTTATCCTTTCATAAAGAGATTTGGGCCCCATCATCAGTTCCAGGATATGTCACTGGGAAACTATTTTTCGTTTCTGTTATTTTAAGGTCATGGTAACAATATTGTACCAGGAACTATTGTTACCGTGAAATCCTAGCTAGGGCTTGAATATCCATACCTCATAAGGGTACAAAGAATTCCCCTCTAGTTTTCTGAGATGGGAAAGCTTGTTTATAAGTCAAACAAATTAATGAGTTAAATTGAGTCAGGGTATATAAGTCAAGTCTGAGTTAAGTACTGAAAATAGTGCTTAGGATTAGCGCCCGAAAGAAACTTGAACTCTAGCACGTCCTTTAGGCAAGCAGCTCTGTTGTTTCGATTGCCTGAGGCAACAACTTGCTTGTCTTAGTTGATTTACTTGGAGGATGACTTACCTGGACTCTTGCCCATTGGGCAAATGAGCTTTAAGAGTTACTTGCCCAACAACAAAAACTACTCATCGTGGATGACCAGACAAGGCTTTTTTCGAGCCCTGTAGGTTAATCATTGACAACAGTAAAGTTCATACCATAGGATTTTGATCACAGACTTACAGTTTCTACCTGTCCACTAATTACGAGTTAGTTTCCATCATTCACTCGAAGGAAGTGTATGGGTTACTTCACACATAGTTAGTACTGTACTAACCACATAAAAACATGAAGCTTGGATGCATAATTATGCTCAACTGAAATGGATCTAGGGAAGTCTGCTGACTGAGATGTTGATTCTTTTCTCTGGTAGAACTCAAAGTGGTCAAAACCATTGCCTGTGTTCTCTTTCAGTAAGGTAGGTATTGTAAAGACTTTAGTTTCACGTGAATCACGTCCCCTCCCCCCCTATTGCTCGGCACGGGAGATGGAGAAATGCAAGGCATTTGTACAAGATAGCACTTCTTTAAATATATGCATCCTAATATTTACCGTAGTAGTAAGCACACATGTTTGGGCTATTGAGTCAGTAGTATTCTTCTAGTATAGCCAGCTGTTTTGGCTCACACTGGCAGTGCCCAATACCCAACCAAAGCGATCCTGCTCGCAGGCCGACAAACATGCATGACTTTTGTCCACCATTCTATGTCATACACTGTTGACTTGATAGAATTTTGGACATTTTTTTTCTTGTCTTTAGACAGCCAATGAGTATGACATCATGTACCCTGCTTGGACATTCTGGGAAGGAGGTCCTGCTGTCTGGCCAATTTACCCCACTGGACTGGGAAGATGGGATCTAATGAGAGATGAAATTGAAAAGTAAGTTTTGCCGCGTTAATTTTAGTCAATGTAAAGTGAAATAGTTACCCTGATTTTTCTCTCTCTCCTCACGACTTCGCTGCTCGCTCTCTCTTTCGTGAGGAAGAATTTCAAGGAAAGCCTCTGGGAGCAGGGTATGAAATAGTTGACATTTGCCTATCAGTGAATTCTCAAGTAAGCACTTGAGCACCCCATTTGAATTCCTCAGTCTTCTAACTACCAATAATGAAAATAGCAACTAGCCACTCCAATGTCAATAATCCTTCTCCCACCTTATTATTTTGTGGTAAACAAAGCTGGAATGACTCAAAATAGAGACCCAAACGGCCTTTTTGGAACTATAAACTCTATAAAAATGACACTGTGTGACATGTATCTTGATTTGCTTAAATACACTACATGGTAGTCTTTGCAAGGAATAAACACCCTCCGGGTCCCATTTCTGAATAGACTGCGAGCGGTTTCTCTTTTTCCTCAAATTTAGCGAGGGGAGTCCACGCACGCGCGAGCGTCGAGAGACGCGGGAAACGAGGGCGGCAGTCACGCGCGTGGACATTTGCGTGTCTTGGGCGTTTTGCTCAACGGACCAAGAAAAAAGAGAGACTGCTTGTAGTCCAATTCCTGAAAGGCCTATTAGAGCTAATCCATAGAAGCCTGTGTAGTATGCGTTTCCGCGCAAATTCGTTCTTGCTCCAACTTTCGCGCAGTAACTCGATTGGAAATGCTTGCTATGCAGGCTAAATCCACGGTTGGATTTACCTTAGATTGTTTACAGTGACTTCTCATGTTGGAATAAGGCTCAACGAAATTTTATAAGTTCCAGTTTCTTGTTTTCATGGTTATTTACAGGAAAGCTAAAGAGTGGCCATGGGACAAAAAGCAACCAAAGGCATTTTTCAGGGGATCAAGGTAAGTTTGAAATGCATTCCTGGCAGACATTTGTCAGCATTGTCAGTGTTTGGACTTGTCGGGTTGCTCTTTTTTCTGCAATGATGGGTTGTTTTAAGTGTTTTCGGGGTAATTCTAGGACTTAAATTACCTGCATATCACGGGAACATATGTTGCAGAAAAGGCCAACTGCCGGTGATATCGTCTTGGGAAAGAGATTAAAGCCCTGTTTATATGAAGAAAAGTTATCCAAGGGAGAAGTGTCATCAGCCTACCTGAACTACCTTGAGCGAGCCCAATCAGCCAACTTTTCTTACATTTTCTAACAAAATGTGGCTGCGAAGCGTTTACTTGAGAAACAAAAAGTTGGCCCGCCTAGCCTAGTCACCCTTTTGTGTTGGTAGGGTCATGCACCCTCCTAGCCGGGCCAACCTTTCTCGCCCAGCAGGGTTAACTCAGTCAAAGCGCGAAAGTAAGAGCACACACGAGCGCTGTTGGCTCCGGCATAGGAAGGGCATAGGTTTACCGGCAAAAAATGTCGGATTGGATGACGCGCGACCACGTGACATAAAGTAATAAATTCGACATGGGCTTTGGTCTTATCTACCCTGGGTACCGGAGGTTTTTTCTCGCGTGCTACGAGGAGCTTCGTCGGCCGCAGGCCGACTCGTCTTCAGCCGACCGCGAGAAAAAACTTTTCGCTTTTCGCGCGTGTCACTTTTTAAGACTTAACCGAAATCGGAAACCGCGCATGAAAAGCCTCTGGCACCCAGGGTGAGTCTTATCAGACTTTAAGTCTGATAAGTCCAAAGTTGCATCCTGTAAGCCAAAGCGCAAACATTAATTGCAGAAAACGAATCCCACAGGCAGGAACAGGCGAAAGAGAAGAATAGTAAAAATTCCAGACGATTGAAAAAATTGCCGTATAGGACGTCTGAAACTCATAAGCCGCATTTTTTCTTCTTTCTTCTGGAATAAACACACGAAAGACGACTTTGCCGCCATGTTGAATTTACTTTATATCACGTGGTCGCGCGTCGACCAATCAGACATTTTTCGGCCTAAAAAGCTTCAGAATATACAACTGACAGATTGCTCTAACAGTAGATTTAGTAATTGGATTTTTCCAGACGATGATTGCAACGCGTCTAAGTGGCGAGTCCATAGAGCACTGTTCCATACTCAATTTATTGTACTCTACAGGACATCTTCTGAGCGAGATCCACTGGTTTTGCTGTCACGTGACAATCCACAGTTAGTTGATGCTCAGTACACCAAAAACCAAGCTTGGAAATCTGATGCTGTAAGTTTTCATGGAAGAATTTTTCTTGCTGATTTCCTCGCATTTCTTATAGCTGAAGTGTCCATTCGATATAACAATCCACTCCACAAGCCAACGGCTCGGTTAAACGAATGGCATTCTGTACCCCTGTTATATTTAATTGTGCGAAACAAGAGCCCCGATAAATCCTACCCTCATTAGAAAAGAACGTGGTTTTCAACCCCCTTTTAAAAAACTCTTCGCTATGTCTGACTTCGACTTGTTTCAGTCATGACAGACTGTGATTTTATTGCATAGTAACTGTTGGTCTAGTCGGGGTGTGGAAATAATCAGTAAAGTTAGAGCTGTCACCTTTTCTTAATCTTTTTTTTGGAGTCCCTTGTAATGAGAGGGAGGGAGGTTGGAAGAGGGTGAGGAGGGAACTCACGTCCCCTTCTACTGTTGGTGATACCCGCTCAAGTGATCAGATAACAGTCCCTTGAACAACAAAGAGGAATGTTTTCCCTTTCCTTATCGATTCCAAGGTTTTTTAGATTGTTAGTCATACTCAGTCATGAGAGCTTATTTTCTGTTAAGTATGTGTATTTGTTTTTTTCTGAATTTTGTCTTATAGGATACCTTGCATGCTCCTCCAGCAAAGGAAATCAAGCTTGAAGATCACTGTGAATACAGGTATGTTAAAAAAATTATCACTGTTATTTATTCCGTAGCAGTCTGGAGAAAATTAAACATCTTACAGCTTGGGAGACATGTTTTGGATACATCGATTTTCATCGTTAGTATTATTTCACCAAATCAGTAAAAAGCAATTTTTTTGCGTGTTTTGATTAGCTCCTGTAACTTGCATCATAATTCATTCAAAATTTTTCGCCATTTTTAATTTGCTCAAGTCCCCCGGCCAGTGGTTCATAACCAGCTAGCCTTGACCAAATTTGGCAGATACTTGTGGGAGCCAATAAAATGACGTCAGTACTACAGGATAAACGCCAGCAAAAGGCATGGAATTCGGCCTGCTTTGGTAGGGCTGTAGAAAATATCGGAAAATTTCACACGCTTTGAGAAGATGAAGTATCCGTACTAGCAAGAACAGCAAAACGACGGACGACTTCTGCTGTTTGAAGAATATCTGTTAGACTTAGCATCCCTTAGGCCAATGAAAACGGAAAGTACACTTTTAGCCTGCGTAGCTGGCTTGATCGTTGTTTAGCACGAGCAAAGTTTTTGGAAGAGGAGCTGCGAAGTCGTGAGAAGAATGGGGAAGGGACGCTTTGAGACGCTTTGAACGTATTCTTGCGTCTTCGCCACCAAAACTCTCACGCTCAGGAAACATTTCCGCCACCTACGCAAGCTAGTACACTTTCGGCTTATCCAAACAAAACTACAGACCATTTTTTGGTGTTACCATTGTTGCAAAATAATACAATGTTGAGCTTTTTAAATAGCGTTTTTATTGTTTCTTGTTTTTGCAGATACCTTTTCAACTTCCGAGGTGTAGCGGCAAGTTTTAGATTCAAGCATCTGTTCTTGTGCAAGTCATTAGTCTTCCATGTTGGAGACGAGTGGCTTGAATTCTTCTATCGCGCGCTCAAACCTTGGGTTCACTATATACCAGTTGACACTGATCTCCATAATGTTAGGTGAGTAATGTTAATATCACATTCGTGTTTTCAGATTTAATGAAGTTATAATGCAAATTCAGAGTTTCAACGGATATTCGCGGAATGTTTCTCGTGAAAAATTTTAAAAAAATAACATTATGGGGTAGGGTAATTTCTGGGTGGAGAACGAATCCTGGAAAGCTCTTCCGTTTATAATAAGCCGTAGCCACATGCACTCCCTTGAATACCTCTTTTTGTCGCCCTTCTCCAAAATTGTGTCTCGATAAATATGTCTGTCGATACAAAATGAGAATTGCGCTACGAAACTCATAATTTCAGCAGATCAGCGTTGCACCGGAGTTGGCTTTCAAGCCAAATGGCCAAACCTTGGAACGCAAGTCAAGGGAAGTTTAAATGTTGACCTGCATTAGGCTTTTCGGTGGCGGTTGATGAAAATGTATGCTTATGCCTGGTTGTGCCCGTACCATCTAAAATATAAAACTTGCAGGGCATTAACAGTGTGGACAATTCTTGGTTATCTTATGCAGTATTTGCTCATATACATATTTTCACATGCTCCATGTAAGGGGATATTTAGCGTCAATATAACTAGAATACAGAACGTAAATATGAATACAGGAACTGGATAAAAAATTGTCTGCAAAATATAAGATAATCTAAATAGAATAAATAGAATTTATGCAAAATATAATTATTGTTTATTCCCCGATAACGAGGTCCATAATTGTCGTGATTTACCTTGAGTGTTCAAGATGACGCGAATCCTTTGTTCTTATTGGCTCCCCGAGCTAGCGAGATGAGCCTACTTCGCCCCGATTTTGCCCCCGCAAGAAAAAAAAATGGCCATAATTTTTAATCGTTTATTGAACAATCTTGTTTGTTGACAGGAGGGCTTGATGGTGGCTTCGTTTTTCTTTTTTCGTTTTTATGCACCCCTCGTCCATAAAAAGACAACAAAAGAAACTGGCAAATGTCCATATCCATGTGGAGTTCACGCTCGGTTAATAACAGGGCGTATTCAATCAGTTTCTCGTTTATTCTACCATCAAATCGTGCGTTTATTTACCGTAAATTATTCACAACAATATCTCACCCTTTATTTCACCTGCTTGTTTTGTTTAATATGTTAGAGACCTTCTAGAATTCGCCAAAGCAAATGATGACGTCGCTAAAGCTATGGCTGAGAGGTGAGTTGAAAGTTGCCAGGTCGCGCTGTACGGCGTCTTCCCAGGCCTTCTCGGCCAGTTCATTTCGGTGACGTATCTGAGAAGAAATTTGCTCGGACCACGTGACCCGAAACGCATAGGCCGCGCGTAGTAATGAGGCCTAGGGACTAGGCAAATTTGCAAGGAGTGAGTTCACCTGGTAATACGTCTCTTGTATCAAGCAAACGAACTACTTCTCTTAATGCGTCGTTCAAAAAGTATTGCGAAGGATAGTTCGTCTAGAGGTATAATGCGTCTTGCGCCCCTCTTTATACTAGAGACGCATAACCAGACAAACGGCAAACGTCCAGACGGACCGACGAAATATCCATCTGGACGGATAATGCGTCCTCCAGTGAAGGATTCCTTTTGCTCCCCTTTTCTTTTTCCACGCAGACTGCTTCTTAATATCCTGTATAGTCTCTCGACTGCTAGGATTAACAAGTATATGGTTATGTAGTGGCGAATAAAAGTGGCCGACTCACTCATTTTGTTATTCTCCTTGTTCCCAGAGGTTATCAGTTTATCAAAGAACATCTTCGTATGCAGGATGTTAAATGTTACTGGAAAAAGCTACTGAAGAATTACGCCAAACTGATGCTATGGAAACCGACACGTGACCAAGCATTCCAAGAGATAAAGCCATAGACATTGTTATTTAGCGACAAAAATAGACTTTTAAAGAATTGTCTTAGTTTAGTTAGTCTTTTTCAATTTCACTATTTATTGGACGCACACCGTATGGCAGAAAACGATAAGCACTCAATAAACACCAAGTATTCCTATTTAAATATAGGAAAAGCTTAAACATGAAAATGTGCATTACTTTGTTTTATGGGCGCGTAACATCCATGTCGATATCATGGTGCCCACAATATCGAAAAATGTTGATTAAATATTAGCTGTGGTCACACTACAGACTTTTACCTAGGTAACACCGATTTACCTAGGGCAAATTCATCAAAAATCTCCCGAGGTAAATTCATCTCGGGTTTTGTTTTACCTAGGTAAGGGACCAGTCATAATTTAAGTTGGAGGGGGGTTCTTACTCATTGTCACTTCCGAATGTGCCAACTAACAACAGAGAAGCACTTCACACTCAACCGAGAAAGAGATTTCACCAAGAGCCTCTCAAACAGCTTATAGAGCAAGGATATATCAGTGATTGTGTTAGAATTGAGATAAGACAAGCCATAGAAAGGTTAGAGGCCGACAGGACCGCTTCAAGGAAGACAGCAGATAATCAGCCAAAGCTTACTGCTTTTTATATGAGCAGTACATGCTCTAATAGCAAAAAACTTGACGGTGACACAGACAGTGAGTCCACATCATCGGATAGTGAGATTGCATAACATGACTTTATGCATGTAATCATTTGTTAAAATGCCGATGAAATTGTTTCAGTGTTACACAAAAATGGATGTTGTGTTGATGCACCTACTATTTGAGCATTAAATCTTTTTGTCAAAATGCTGATTAAATTGTTTTAGTATTACACAATATAGGACTTTGTGTAAAACTGAATCAAAATCAGGTCCTTTAATACTCAAACATCATGCTGCTCAGTAGGAGTGCTACTTAAAAGAAACTTGAGGACACCCCCAAAGTCATCTTTTGGCATTTTAAGGCCCCCATATTCTATCCAAAAAAAATTGAAGGCCCCCCAATTTCTCCTCCCCCCTCCCCTCCAACTTAAATTATGACTGGTCCCTAAAAATTCTGGGTAGGACACACTACTGATATGGTCTCCCAGAGTTTTCACCTCAGTTGAATTTTTTGGAGCGTAAATTCAAGAAGGCAAAATGCTGATCAAAGAGACGTCTTTTTCTTTTATGTCGCTGTTATTTCTTACTCTAATTCAACGTTCAAGGTGAAGAAAGGCGAAGACGCAGACGACTCGTGCCCCCAAAATCTCTTTCAAAGCGCGATCTATGTCCGGTTCTGTCATCAAGGCCCTCGCCGATGAGCGTCTATTGGCTAACAACCTCGGTATTTCTTTTTTCCCTAGCTATTGCTTTGGGGTAGCTGTCAAGGGAAACTCTATTGTTTTCGAGACATTTCCAAGACCCAGACGACAAAATTTCCCCGAGATAAGTTACCTTGGGAAAAATCGGTCACATTTAAAAAATCAAGTTTCCCCAGGTAAACTGTCAACAAGTCGTGTTTACGTAGGTAAAAAGCCTGAAGTGTGACCACAGCTTATATCACACCACTTTTAAAAGAAAGCATAAAAGCTTCCTCTCTAGTTTCCAGATCTCAAAATTTTTGCCGTGCGGTCATTTTGTTTCGGTTGAGCGAATCTCGGTCAGGTCAACGCAACAAATCGACTGTTGGCCTGAAATGAACTGTACAGGAACTACAGCATTAGACAGATTGAAATAGAACAACAAACCCCAATCCCCTCGAAATCAAGGATAAAGCCCCGTGAAATCCAAAATGCGTTATTTTCCCACCCTTGATTTGGGAGAAGGGAGTGGGGGGATTTTCCATCTAATTTGTCCAAGATTGTTGTCCATGAAGATTTCTCTGAGTTCCAGACCACTTTAGGTCCATTAATCCTCAGTTTGTTCCGATTCCGAGGTTGTTAATCTCACCATCGGAAGAAATGTGCTGAAAATAGAGCTTAATGATTATGAGCATGATGGTGTGAGATAACGGTTAAGTTGATGATGTGTATGATAATGATGATGAGCACGAGAATGATGATTTACGATCACGATGATGATGTGGAAGATGTTATAATGATGGGGTTAATGATGATGGTGGTGATGACGACGGGGATGAGGATGATGATGGTGGTGTTGGTGATGACGACAAGGGTGATGATGATGGTGGTGGTGATGACAAGGAGGATGATGATGGTAGTGGTGGTGATAATGATGACGACGAGGATGAGGATTATGTTGATGGTGGTGGTAGTGATGACAACGACGATGAGAAGGATGGTGATGCAAGTATGATGATGATGATGGTGGTGGTGATGACAATGACGGTGGTGGTGGTGATGACGACGAGGATGGTGGTGATGACGATGACGGTGGTGGTGGTGATGATGACGACAAGGATGATGGTGGTGGTGGTGATGACGATGACGGTGGTGGTGGTGATGACGACGACGATGATGATGGTGGTGGTGATGACAATGGTGGTGGTGATGATGACGACAAGGATGATGGTGGTGGTGGTAATGACGATGAGAATGATTATGGTGGTTGTGATGACGATGAGAATGATTATGGTGGTTGTGAAGACGACGAGGATGATGGTGGTGGCAGTGATGATGACGACGAGGAAGAGGATGGTGGTGGTCTTGATGACGATGGGGATGACGTTGATGGTGGTGGTAGTGATGACAACTAGGATGAGGATGGTGGTGGTGGTGGTGGTGGTGACGACGAGGATGACTATGATGATGAAGCTTATGTTACTGGGTAATGATGATGAGAATGATGACAAATGATGGTGAAGCTTGTGAGCTAGGGTGATGAGGGTGACGATGAAGCTGAAGATGATGATGTGTATGAGGATGAAGATGATTTTGAGAGGGATAACACGCGAGCAAGCAAAGTATTCGTGTCCAGCAAATGGGCACCATGCGTTCCAGGCTTCCTGCGAGAGGCGCTTTTCGCGCGTGTTCGCCAATCAAAATCTCCTGAACCCTCTCTTCTAAAAAATATTATTGAACACAAACGTTGGGTGAAGAGGGTTCGAGAAGAAGCAAATATATTTTGCCAGGTTACTTGTTCCTTTTGAAGGTAAACTGAGTATCTTAATTACACCTAAGAACAACTAGATGAGCATCAAGCCTCGCCTATTAAATATGGTACATATTCATGGTACTTGAAAAATGCAAGTACAAAGTCCTTAGTTAATAAACTCTTTGGCCATTTCTTACAAGAACTTAATAAGTAGATATCTATGTTTCGTTACTCTGTTAACTGTCGTTAACTACGCGGTACAGAGAACGTATCTGATAGGGGCGTAGCCAGCCCATAGACCTACAGACCCGGACCTGCAAATTTTTGGCTTAATAACTCTACCGCTTGTAATAAATTATGCGTTGTTGAAGTGAGCTGAAAAGTTTAAGAGCTGAAAGTGTTGGTGAGATCAGTGCGCACTAGTCATGCGTGCAATTTTCAGATGTGTGGAAATGAAAGTCAGCAAGGCCTGCAACCAGTCGAAAAGCTGTCTACGCCCCTGTCTGATGACTAGAATTTAGGGTTAAACGACAAGAAGTCAAGCCATTTCGAAGTTGACCAACTGAATGGCTGCATTTTTAGTGAGGCCCCGTTTTTATGGAGAAACGTTGACGGATGGAAGGGTCACTCGCCTACCCGAGATACCCTGCTGGAAGAGCCAACTTTTCATGCATTTCCTTACTGCGCTTTTCAAAAACACGCCAACTCTAAAGTTGAAATGCCGCCTTGACAATTGCGTTTTACACTGCCTTCAATCATAATTACGATCACACGCAACAAACCTTGAAACACTGGAACACACAAAACGGATCGAATTCCACCAATCACAAACCATGACCTTTTGAACTCGTTGAAGTAAACTTCCGTTTCCTAAGAGGTCCGCTAAGATGATTGACGGCAGCGAAGAACGCAAACGTCAGTTGGCTTTTGAACTTCAAAATTTGTGTGTTTTTGAAAAGCGCAGTAAAAGACTTGGCGGCCGTTTACATGAGAAACAAAAAAGCTGGCTCGGCTAGGGTCACCCTCCCACCAGGGTTAACGTTTCTCCATATAAACACTATGCCTCGCACAGCCGGGTCAACACGGTAAAGGCATGACAATCAGAGCATGCGTGACTTAAGTTGACACGATAGGGAGGGTGAACCTTCTACCCAAGACAGGTTTTCTTCATATAATCGGGGCCTTAGAGTTACCATAATATAGCTTAATGCGCAATCCTCGTATTCACTCTGATATTTGAATAGAGCAGATAGCACATTCAAGGAGGAGTTCAACTTCTCCACGTAAACGTCATTTCTTCCGAAACATGCAGTGTCCCTGATAGGCTCTTTATATATACTCTTTGAAATTACGTTATCCACATGCAGTCCTCATTACTTAGAGAATTCTTGGAGAAAAATTCTTACAAAAAAATACAATCTCCATCGTCAATGGACATGGAAATATTCCCAGGAATATTCGGCTTGAACTCTGCTAATCCTGGGAGAGCAACCGTTTATAATAAAAATTGCGGAAACTGGTTAACGTTCTTTCGGCCAAACTGTACAGAGAAGGTCTTTAAGATAGTGTGTAACGTTCACGCTATTCAGTCGTTGTGACCTTAATGCGCGACATAAAATAGGTCCACGTCTGAAAGTAAACGGGTAGTTGTTGTCTATGACAAACTCATCAATGCGGAAAACTGCTCTGAACAACCTTAAAGGCCATTGTTGAACAAAAATAGCTTCACTGAACTTCATACTGGCCAAAGTCATCGTTGGATTGTGAAGACTAAACAATTGGTTACTGTTCTCCTAGCCACGCTGTACAGGCAATATCTCAAGATTAACTGGGAATTCACATTTACAATAGTTCATCGCGACCCCAGTGTTAATCAAAAATAAGTCTCTTGCCTCGTTCCCAGGCTCCTCTATCCTCTTCTGAAAACGAGGCTGACAAAACGAGTAGTCCTTTTCAACATCCACCTGACTTTATAAGAGAGTAGGTCTGTGTTGTCCAGTCAGCTCAAAGTCATATTGTGATTAAGGACACTAAACGACATCTTTAAGCCAGGGATGATCAAGGCACTGAGCTGCTGAGGCTCGTTTTTCTGTGTTGAAGTCCAGCATAGGAAGCAAGAATGCTGAAAATTCCATAGCATCCTGCTCAGGCCATTCATACTTCTCGCGTAGAACGTCATATAAGCCCCTACAGCGACAAAAAAAAAATGATTGACATATTACTCAGAAGACTTGTGGAAAGAACGAGACACATCACACAACTTACATAGAAGTGTTTTTACTTCAGTATCGCGAAGAGCGAGGTTGATATTGTCTCTAACCTGGTTGAAGTTCATAACCGAAGTTTCCAGACTGGTTTAGTCATGGATAAAAAGGATTTAATTCGACCGTATTACTGCACTTACCAGGGTCGTAGCTTGGAAATGTGCTTCAACTCCCCTGTTTAACAAGAAAAAAAGAATTCCTTAACAATTTCATTCCTAATAACGGTCGAAGAACATTTAGAAAAATTTATTGTTAAAAAATCCTGAGAAAAAAATTGTACTATAGCAGATGTTCTGGCAAAAAGGTTTCATTTAAATGGCAAGACTCAAGGATTTCGTCCACAGATGTAAAAGTTAAAGTGACAGACAGTTAATTATTTTATACAGCAACTCCACAGTGTAATGGGAAAGAAGTTATAAATACTAAGCTAATTACGCATTTGTTTAATGTAGCTTAACAATAATAAAGCAAAGCTTATTGCCTGACATTGCGAGTCTGGGCAACCTGTGCGAATCTCCACTGGGCATTTGTAGAGCTGGTGTTGCTTAACAGTTCTCTCGTTAAGGTCGGAACGTTTTGCGATCACTTGATTTTCACGTACTTCCTGTCTAAATGTTTTTCCCAAATCACTCACTTCCTCAGGAAGTCAGTCAGTTTCAGCCAGATTTGTTATTCCTTTCTTCAGTCTGACCACATTGTTCTTAACACGATGGTTTCATTGAGGAAACGCAGGCGCGAATGTAGGATAAATGGTGACCGATTTCCTAACGAGTGCCAAAGGCGGGAACAAGCTTCCAGGGATGTCCGGGGGCATGCTTACCCGGGAGGTTTTTTAGATTTTAACTACCAAAGTCCCCTTGCCTGGGGTTCTGAATGTGATGACGACGGCGTGACCGCTGTTTGAAAGTCAGGGCGTTACTGACTGTGTAAAGAAGACTAGACAGTGACAAATGATTTTCCAGCTGAAAATCTCATAGCGAGTCTAATGCCCGGAAAATGGAAGAAAAAAATATTGGTCCCAACCATTCTCCAGATTTCAACTTGAAGAGTATTTCTTTATTGCCAAAAATATGTTTATGATGAAAAACTGACCAATTTCCGTAAAACGGTGGAAACCGGTGTGGATCTGCGCCTAGGAGGGGCTGCCTTTCAAAGGATCGGCAAAGAAATGATGACGACGAAGATAATGATGATGGTGACAATGATGATGACGATGATGATGATGATGACGTTCGTGGGGGAGGGGAGGGGCGGTTTTTCACAGGATTGGCCCATAAATTGTGACGACGATGACAATGATTATGAAAGTGGTGGGGGAGGGGTAGGGGATGCCTCATCACCACAGGACTGGCATACACACCGTTCTCACTCGACTCACAAACCTTGCGGGCACCTCCCGGGACGCTCACTTATTGGAAATGCACTGAGATTAACTTTTCAATTAGTTACTCTAGCTACTAACCTTTCTTGTTAAAAAAATCCCTGGAATATTTCCCTGACAGGGCTATATGCCTCGGCACTTTCCCAAGAAGTTCAATGACGTGAGCAAGATGATCTAACAAGGAAAAACGACGATCACAAATATTATTGAAAACAGCAACTCCGACAGGCAGTTGCAAAACAAAAAAAAGTTACCTTCATCTCTTGAATAGTCTTCTCCCGAGTGAGGCTCGAACAGAAAGTCACCAGTCGCTAATTCAAAAGCCTGCGATACAAAACTACGTGGGTCAGTAGGTTGTTCAACGAATGCGCGTCTGAGCATGTATTTTCGATACAACAAAATAACAAGCAACAAAACCGATTTCATTTCATTTCAGTTCAGTTCGTGACACAGCTCTTGAGGTATTCTCATCGCGAAGTTGCAAAGTCTGATTGGAATAGCTTGCTTGATTCCATTTTAGAAGCTTCATAAAAATAATATGGGCTATGATATGAGGCGATGCAATTTTTAATCTCAATTCTTTCCAGCTGATCTGGATATATTGTTACCGGGTACTTCTCCCACTAGGTCAAATTTAATATATTGTTAAGTGCTTATGCCCTAGATTTTCAACCGGATTTTTAATGTTAAATGACAATGGTTTACAGGGTTCGTACCCTTTTTTGAACAAAAACATTCAAGGACTTTCAAGGGCACAGTTCCCATTGTTCAAGGACTCCCTTCAGTGCGAAAAACAGCCTTGAGTGTATGTCTTCAGTAATTTATCCCAAATGTCTTTCCGTGTTTGCTCCTTTCTCTTTGGAGTTCTACTTAAACTATAAAGTTAGCATTGAAATTCAAGCACTTTCCAGGACTAACTGCAATTTTCAAGGACTTTTAAGGCCTTGAATATTTAATTTAAAATTCAAGGACTTTCAAGGTGCGTGCAAAACCTGGGTTTATATGTATTACTGAAATTAGATTCAAACATTATAAATGTTGCCATATGCTGAAGCCCACAGTTTCCACTCACCATGCATGCTGTACTCCACATATCAGCGGCGGGACCATACGCTGCACCTATTAACACTTCCAGGCTACGGTATTGTCTTGTCTGGATCTCCTCTGTAAAATGGTGATGCTGAAGCAGGATTAATAGAAACCATTACAGGGTCCGAAATTAACTTTTTAATACGGGCGCCAACTGGCGATCAAGTATAAATTTTTGGTCGCCAGAGGGCAAATTGTGGTCGCCAAAAATTTCCCCTCCCTATTTTTCAAATAAAAGTTTAAACACGAATAAAATGCATGGTATGGACGTTTTTATGCTCAAAAATTGCACTACTTTCGCTCCCGATATCAGAAAGTAACCGTACGTGTACGAGTGAAGTCTTACTTTTTCCACAAATTACTTTTTGGAGATACAAAGCTGTCTGACCTAGAACGCAGGAACAGAAAACTGTCTGCCCATAACTGCACTGATCATATCAAAACTCTATTTTCTTCCGATAACTACCACGAAACACGAAACATAAACACGAGTCAAGCCGCGATGCCCATATCACTGTGACAGTACCAGGCCACAAACTGCCACATTACTCGTACCAGTCCACAACGTACATAACGTACTTACCGTATTTCAGCTGAAAACAACATAGCGGCTTGGAAATGTTCAACTCGTATTGATCGTAGCTGTTGTGGAGGTATTATTCTGATTATTACAGGAAGATTCGTTTCACTTTTAGTTAAAAAATATCACCAGGACAAAAAGTAAGACACCTGTTGTCAAATAGCTTCGAGGTTTCAATTCTTAATCAGTTTCTCCGAACCTTAAAGTCCACAATAACAACTAACTTAACAAGTCGCTAGCTGGCGACCAGCTATTAAATTCTGGTCGCCAGGACTAAATTTTTAGTCGCATTGGCGACCAGGAAGGCGCAATTTCGGACCCCGCATTAGATTCTAAGACGAGGAAGATTACGAGAACGAGATTTTCTTAATACTTATCAGTGGTCGCCCGTGAACGAGCGTCATTTTGGCGCGAAAACATGATAGCCGCCGTCATTCAACTACAAGTTTTAGCGAAAATGTCGATCGGGAGTGGGCTAAACCTCCTTAAATCAAAATAACCATGTTAACTTTTCAAGTGAAAAAAACGTAAAATGAAGCTTTTCGGGGTGACCATTTTTGGAGAAAACCGTATTTCCTCGATTAAGCCCCCTCCCGCCAAAAAGGCCCTCCCCCTAGGCCATAATTTCAAACAAAAGGCCCTCTCCTCCCCGAATAAGCGCCCCGATGCCAGCACAGTTTGACGAGAGAAAACAAGATCCCCTGGCTCGCTATTTATCCGGTTTCGCTACTTGTCGAATTCGCTACGTCCTAGTTCGCAACAAATTCGCTACATATTACTTTCTGTAAACCACTGAAATTATTCCCTTAATCGCTCTAGAAAAATAATCTTTTAGTATATTTTTCGTTCTTTTAAGCTTATTCCTCCGAAGGTGCAAGTTTTGGACTTTGCCAACAGGCAGCGAGACGAATATGTTGGTAGCGAACTCGAACGTAGCGAATTTGACAAGTAGCCACACCGTGGTAAAACGTTTATCTTCCTCACATCTCCATGGATGTTCCCACAAACTGAACGTCTGGAACAGAATAGGAGAGATGAAGAAGGTGGTCTAAGATAAGAAAAGAGGCTGTTTTTCTGGCCAGTTTACATGAACTTACCACCCAACATGCATTTCCGAGATCAGCAATTTTCACCCTGACAGAGTCATCACTGTGATCAGCTTCAGTGTGGTTTTCTTCTAAACAGTTTTCTTCTGCTGTCTCTGAAAAGTGAGAGATATGCAGCAAAAGTCAATGAAGAAACACAACTTTGCTGTTTACGATGGACAATAAAAAATTCATCCATTTTTGTAGACTGCAAAACAGTCGGTTTTTTTCTCAAAATCAGTAAAGAAATCGGTAAAGCGTGGCGTAAGAGTCTTACGCGCGCGAAGCGTGTGAGGCGAGAGAAAAAAACAGTCCGTATTTTTAGCGTCTCTCCCCAGTCTCGCTCTCTGTTTTCAGCCTCATTCCAGACCTTTTGTTTGACTGCTCGCGCGTACTTGAATACGCAAAAATACGGACTGTTTTGCAGTCTACCATTTTTGAAGTCAGAGATTTCAGGTATGGTTTCCATGAACAAATAATTTGAGAGCATTTACAATATCTCAAATGCAGGCTTCTACTACACTGCTTTTTCCGTTATCAATTCGCCCACTGCATATGTTCTCACTATGTAGCAACTTTTTTCCCTTGGTTTGACATTTCTACAGTGGAACTTGTCCTTTGGGACACCTCTCTTCAAGAGACACCTCCATTTAGGGGACATAAAATTTGGTCCAGGAAAAATGTTGACATAATCTTTGACCATAATCTGTTACCTCTATTGAAGGAACATCTCTACTCAGGGGAAAGGGACACTTTTTATGGGTCCTAAAACCCAGGTTAAACCTCCATCTAGGGGACACCCCAGCACCCAAAAAGTGACTAACCACAAAAAGTATAAGTTTAAGTGTCCACTAGTCACAATGACACAGCTTTCAAAACATGAACTGTCTCACTTAAATCGATGTACTGCACTTGTGGGATCTAAACACAGAATTTTGCAGAGATACGTTAATCATGATTTTTTTATACATTGACTAGGTGCTTGAAATAAACTGCAGGAGATTCCGAGGCAGAATAAAAGAAAAATATATTTTGTTTGTTGGTGAAAAACCCCAGGCCAACCCTCATTGAGGGAACACGTGGCTTGGTCCCGAGGGTGTCCCCTAAATAGAGGTTCTCGGTATACCCATAATAACGTTGCAAGTCAAGCTGCTCTATAACCAATAGTTTAAGGTATCCAGACCCTTGATTTTCCTACCATTTACACAACTCCCACTGTGTCTAGAAAATCAAGGTTCTTCAGTCATTAATAATATTTAATGTTATTGACCTTTCTGTTCTGGTATTGACTCCATATCAACACTCCTACTGTCCGTATCTTCTACATCTCCATTACAGAGCAGAGCACCTACCGAGATCAGAAAAAATGCAATCAAACACAATATTTGTCATACTTTGTAGCACCCTGTGCGTAGAGCCTCCTTTTGCCGGATCAGTTTAGGTTTCTGGGAAACTGCCCACCCATCCCACCCCCTAACCCTTGTTTCTGCCTTTACGTCACTTGTCAGTGAGAAAAATGGGTTATGGGTGGGGTGGGTGGGCAGTTACCCAAGAGTTAAGTAGGTTCTTACACAGAGGATGAGCCAGATTTTCCTTGGCGAAATAATAAAATTTTACAGAAAATGGGTGTCTGACGTAGACATGGTAGTGAATTTCAACGACTTTTCAAGACCTAATAAAAAAATCAAGTACTTTTCAAGGACCTTAACCAAATTGAAGGACTTTTCAAGATGACTACTAAAATTCAAGACCTTTTCAAGATTGTACGAAGCATGGTTCATTATATCGAGGTTCCACTGTAGCTTTAAGTGAAGATCACAACAAAACATGCAAGTAATTACCCTGTCATGTTTGTCACACATAAACCTTTGGCTGTCCTCTTCTCTCTGCCATCTTGTTGCATAAACTTACTAGTGCTTTATCCCGCAGAAATCATTATCCAATGTCTAATCAGCTGGGCCCAGAGGTTAGAATCACAGTGGGGCCAACAAATGTAGGTTGATTTTGTTGTTGGCTCATGGCTTTATTAATTTGTTATTGGTTCACCACAGTTTTCCCTTCTCCTTAAAACCCAGCCTTCCCAAACCTTGGGAAAACCACTCTGTGGATTTGCTGCGGAGGCATGTGTGAGCGGTTAACACCTTAAACTCTGGATCTAGAGGTCAGGGGTTCAAGCCTCGCCCATCGCGATGTTTCCTTAGAACTTTACTCCACATTGCCTCTCTTCACCCAGGTGTATAAATGGGTTCCAGCATCATACCACTGGGGGGTAACCCTGCAGTGGACTAGCATCCCATCCAGGGGGGAGTAGGAATACTCCTAGGCATGCTTCACGCTAGGGAAACAGGGATAAGCTCCAGCTGTTTGAGCCTGTGGCTCATGCGTGCCTTTACCTTTACCTTTACCTTTTACCTATGGACATGCATTCACTAATTTATTTATTTATTTATTTATTTATTTATTTATATTTGTGAGGAAACAAAAAAGCCCACCTGACTCAAGCTGTTCCTCTGTTGTTGACATAGCATCATTTGATGCCGTCTCACCCATTTCTTGTAGAGTCTGACTACTAAGCTCTTCAGACAGTTCAACTGATTCAGTATCAACATGATTTTCTACAGTCTTTTCCTGTGAACAGTTGGAAAGTGCTTCGCTTGGAGCTTGTTCACTTGATTTTTGCTCACATTCAGTGGTATTTTCAGTGCAGTTTTCTGTGTTATTGCTACAATCTTCTGTCTCCTTGTCTGAATCCTCTTCGTTTTCTTCCAGTATTCCTTGCTCGATTTCATCCTGCTGCTGTTGCTGCTTTTCAATTTGTTTTTTGAGTTTCTTCTTCATTTTCTTCTTCTTGTTCTTTGATATTTTAGTTGATGTGCATTGCTTCAAATTAAAAAAAATAATATATAACAGATCTATGGCCAGCATGTACGATATTGTTTAGATAATACGAGACCACATCAGACTCTTATTTAACGTGTATAAATAAATGCTTTTCTTAATTATCATTATCATTATTACCATAATTATTATTATTGTTAATAATTATTATCAAAATTACATCAATTTGCAAAAAATAGTGTCTAGGCCAATCAAGTTCATTGTGTCATATGAAGAACATCTGTAAATTGAGATGGTTGTATCTAAGTAGTTTACAAACCTGCATTACTGATGGTGGAGCTGAGCTTACTAAAAGGAAAAAAGAGGTAAGATCAGAAAAGGAGTTAATACCTGTCACTCATGTTCAATGCTCATGAATATTTATTTTTCTATGTACCATATTTGGAAACCCTCGCTACGGCCTCAGAAAGGAATAGGTTTAACTTTGCACGTGCATCATCCTTTTTTGTACATTTCTTTTCCGTCAATGCATGACCACAGCATGAAAGTGTCTATTTCATGTTTTGTGGAGGGCGTAAACACAAGACGATGACTTTCTTTTTCTTTGCCTGAACTTCGACACAATCTTTAGAATTCAACTTCGACACAATCTTTAGAATTCAACTCCAGAAAAATTTGGTAACATTTGACTATCTGAATGAGATGGGATAAGTTGGAAGCAGTGCAAATTCACTTTTAAGTGGCGTTTTCATAAGCCGTTGCTATCGTTGTTGCTAATAACCTCCCTATTTTTTTCAGCGGGGGCAAGAACATGGACTGAAATAACATCTCATCATTTACGAAGTTTGATAGGTCAGTTTTCTTTTCTTCTCACTTCAAATATGGTACTTGTGAAAAAGAATATTCATGAGCATCGGACAAAACAAACATATGACAGTTACCCGTTTCAGCCTCTTATGAGTTTCTGGTAAAAAAAAAAAGGTTAAAGGCTTGTTTATAGTGGAAATTGCACTTAGCTTGTCCAACTAATTTACAGGCACTCCACTCAAATATTTAGAAACAAATAATTCAAATACAACATAACAGGATTAAAAACCCCAACTGGCAGAAGGCAACCAGTTGGCTATTAACAAGCGTGGCCGGGAATTTGAACTCGGGATGACCGAGCACAAATCCAGCAAGTGGCCAGAGCGGGACTCGAACCCGGGACTGCCGGATGGCGAGTCCGACGCGCTGACCACTCGGCCATGCTGCCTCCCTAAAATTGGTAAAAACCAATTATGCAGAAAAATTGGTAAAATCCAATTATGCAGTAAATTATAATATTCCAGAGCTGGAAACAAGATCATTGCTACCACTCAGGGAGCAAGGGTGAAAACATGTTTTGAGATAACATGTCTCAAACAACTCTTGAGACCACCTAAGATTTTCATGGGTAATCAAAACAAAAACAACATTTTTTTTTCACATTTTACAGGAAACATCAAACTTCATATTGAGCTATTTAAGAAAGTCCCTGATACTTAGCTACCTACCAGTAATTTTAAAATTATTTTTCATTGAACGTACTTAAAGCTGGTGAGTACACTCCTGATGCTCTTGCAGTTGCTGCCTCAGCGGCCAGTTGCTGAATATGCTTTTCACTCACACACAGTAAGATATTCTCAGGTTTAATATCAGTGTGTATTATTTTACACTTGGTGTGCAAGTAGTCAAGTCCCTGTAATGTCTGCACAAAGATAAGTATTAATAAGAAATCTATTACTGCTCTGAACTTTTTTCTATGAATATGACACAACCAACTGGGGAAACCTAATCTTTAAGCTTCTCTTTGTGGAGTGTAACAGTCTCTAAACTTTGAATTTAACACAACCCTCAAAACAATAATCTGAGCCTCATAGCTTAGTTCTTTGAATGTTCTTCTCAGTAGCCAACAAAAACCCATGGTTATGCTATTGATAATACCCATACAGTGGAACATTGATATAATGAACAGCCAAGACTCTGGCAAAATGTGTTGACTTTAACGAGGTTTCATTATATCACGGTTATTTTCCATAATATTTTACTATTACTGGGATAAAGAAAATCACTCACTATACCAAGGACTTCATTAAACAGAGGTTTGTTATATTGAGGTTATACTGTATTAATATTTCACCCTGGGTCAAGTGGTGCTAATTTTCTTACACAGGGACCCTTAAAATTCCTCTTTAAACCTTGCACTCTCAGAGGCTAATGTGAAAATTTGAGAAATATTCCAAATTTTGTTTGTAAAATATTCAAAAACAAATGGTATCACATGGAAGTGCACCAGACCACGTATTTGTTTAACAAAGCTAAACTGTTAGCACTACATTTTGTCTCCATTAAACAGCCACATTTAGCAGGACCTAAAAGTTGAGCTTCTACATGTACACTTGAAACTAAATCAGTTTATAAAACAATAACTACATACCTGTTTTATAATACTCTTAACTTGCATCACAGGTATTCCTCTATAATTGGACTTTATTATTAATTTTAACAAGTTATGACCTAACACTTCAAAAACCATACATATATCTGTAACACCAATGTCAAGGTATTATTGTTTTGATCAGACATAGTAAAACTATACACAATACGTTTAAGAGTAAACAAGTCAGCAGTGCAAAAGAAGCACATGTATTACAATAATAATAATAATAATAATAATAATAATAATATATAATAATAGTAATAATAAAAATAAAAATAACAATAATAATAAATTTAGTCTTATCCCTATGGGAGTAAAATAATAGTTAAATACAGTTGAACCTCCATTAAGCAGTCAGTATTCAAATAAGTCCTGAAATAATTTGTACAAAAGAATGGGAAATTAAACCTCTATTAAGGGGCAACCTCCTAAGTGGAGTGGACATGGCCACCTTTTAGCCATCCTGATGAGAGTTTTCCCATTATTTTCACCTCGATTAAGTGGCTATTAAGCGCTTGATACAGCGAGTTTGGCTTCATTTCAAGAATATGATGAAGGAAAATACAGTCCGAAATTGAAATTGATGACCCATTGTGGACCAGGCCCTGGTTGTTCAAACATTGTATAGCGCTATTCACCGGATAAATCATTATCTAGTGGACAAGTATCAGGGAAACCAATTGCGTTATCCACTGCATAGAGATTTATCCAGTGGAATTAGCATTACCAACCTTTGGAACAACTGGGGCCAGTAATGCTCCTCCCATCGTGCATTTGCTTTAAAATAAAGTGGTGTTTCTGCTAAGATTATGCTAATTTCCGACAACTATAGAGCGGCCAACCTCCATCAAGTAGCCAGTTGCCCGTACCCTGAGGGTAGCCGCTTAATAGAGGTTCAACTAATTCTTAATCATTACCATCACTATCACTATCATTACTAATATTGTTATTATTAATATTTTTACTATTTTTATTATCATTACTTTATTTATTAGATTATCAAACCAATTCAAATGGATGTACAAATGGGCGGTAGAGGGATGAATAGATGTATTATTAGGCCTGAATTTCAGCTTGTCCTTTTGGCAAGCAGCTCTCACATTTTACCATTCTGGAGCCAATTCTTGCTTGTCTTAGTTAATTATTTTGTTAGAGGATGACTTTCCTGGACCCTCGCCCTTTCGGCAAACAAGGTTTATAAGTCACAAGAAATTTGACTGCTTGTCCCAGAAAACTGAATGGGACTTTGTTTGACTGCTTGTCCCAGAAAACTGAATGGGACTTTGTTTAAGCCCATACAGATAACTTCAAAATCACAGGTCTATGTTCTTTAAGCTTTAAGGTGAGAAGTGAATACATGAAAAAACTGTTTGAGGATACGAGAGCCATTTATTCCTACAATTTTGAAATCATCGGTGAGCTGTACAACATGTTTATACCCAGTATGGTCTGTGTCGGCTGTATGAACCTGGAAAAAATTAACATTATTCAAAAATCATGTGCTACAATCGTGTTTACTACTGAAATCAGGCAGAAATTTCCTCAAAGAATGTAATCTATGCTCTTCCTCAATTAAAATAAGATAATATCATTAATACATTGTTGAGAAAGAACAAGGACCTGGTTCTCTCACTTTGAAAAGGCAATGGTTAATCTAAGTTGTTTCAAACTGCACTTACCAGGGAAAACAGCTGACACTTTGCGATGCCACCTCTTGTTTCTTCGCAAAATGCTGTCTGAAAAAATGAGTGCAGAAATTCCATACTGATGACATGTCGCTACCAAGATCTGGTTAGTGCTTCTGATTGGTTGAAGCAAATTTCCCACATGGCATGACCAATCAGAAGTACTACCCAGATCTGGGTAGGACATGTCATCAGTATGGAATTTTTGCACTTGTTTCTCAGACAACATTTTGCAAGGAAACCAATGGTGATGTTGCAAAATTTCAGCTGTTTTCTTAGGCTACATTGCAATCTTAACTCTGTGTCGTCAGAGGAATGAACAAATGAAAAGAATGACACTAAAAACAAGTAAAATGGTAATGTGCAACATTAGGAATGTCGTATCTAGGAAACCAGGAGCGTTTATAATAAATTACCATTTACAAAGCGTTTGTTACAATCCAAATGAGATATGCAAGGGAATGTGTGGGCCCCACCCACAAGATAAACAACAATGTTATAAACATGAATAAATTTGGTATTTGGTATTTGGTATTTTTATTTATTTGCCACACAATTACATTACTTAAAGATGCCAAAAAAAAAAAAAAAAAAAAAAAAAAATGTAGGAAGAGATGGCGAGGAGGCCTAAAAGAAACTATAGAGCTTATGTTAATTAGGCCTCCTCAATTACAATTTTTCGAAGATGGCGTAAAAATTACGGCGACGGGTACAGTATAATATCAGGTGAAAAATTAAACTAATCAATATTACGGAAGTTTACATGTACAAATGTTGAATATTAAAAGGCTTTTTCCCAAGATTTTTGTTGAAGTATACTAATAATTATTACAAATAAATGCCTTGAGTGTTTTTTTAAAGGAGAAAGGTGAGGAAGCGTTGATGATGTTGGTGTTTAAGGTGTTGTAAAATTTAGGTCCTTGATAAAAAACGGAAAATTGCTTGGTTCGAGTACGACAGAAAGGCAGACAAAATTTTACGAAGTTTCTTGTATTATACTGAATGAATTTGACTTTGTAAGGTAAATTTACAATGAAATTTTAAAGGTAGAGTATGGTTTTGATAGGAGTACATGAATAAGCCTAGTTGTATTAAGTATATATCATGAAATTTTAAGATACCAAGATTTTGAAAGATTGGATCAGTATGTGCATCGAAAGTGGTTTTAGCTATAGTTCTGATCACTGTTTCTGTAAAATCTCAAGATGAATAAGGTTAGTTCTGTAAGTAGAGGCCCAAACTAAGTTGCAGTAAAAAGGTATGGATAGACTAGAGAAAATATAGTGTTCGTAAGGTTTTCGTGGATAAATAGAAACTGGATTTACGAATAATTCCTGTGCATTTAGAAACTTTATTGGCGACATGTGAGATTTCAGATTTCCAATTTAAATTTTCGTCCATGATTACTCCCAGGAAAACTGTTTCTTTTACTTGATCAATTTTTTGACTATTAATTAAAAGTTGAATAGTTTGATTTGTACGCTTTTGGGATGGTTTAAATGCAATGAATTTGGTTTTTTTCAAGTTTAATGAAAGCCTGTTAGCTCTAAACCATATTGACAACTTATTTAGTTCAGCGTTCAGTATATTAGTAAGGCAGTCTTTATCCTTGTGAGACAAAAATACGTTTGTATCATCGGCAAATAGTATCAGTTGTAATATTGTTGACGTGTTGATTGAATAAATATTCAAATCTGATTCAACTCAAAACCATAATAAGATATTCCTGTCAGATCTGTGTATATGTCAATTTCTTTATATATAACAGATCTGTAACTGCCCACATATACGTACAAATTTGACACTCACATTAATTTTATGTATCACTTACTGTCCTTAGCAGTTTCATTTCATCAATTGCAGTCTCTGTATAATGGGAAGCACTTTTCACAATTTTTAGGGCAACAAACCGACGATCTCTGAAATAAAAAGAGTAATCAGACCTTTAAAATCAAAAGGTCTTGTTTGCAGGTGTTAAAGGATACACTGTGTACATTGCAGTTGAACTTGAAGGTACACACTGACACAACGTGTACTGCAAGGTGTTCTACTCAGATAAACTCCATTACCACAGTTTACCCCTCTCATTAAAAACCAACCTTCCCAATTCCAGTTCAATCAGGAATACAGTACGCTCTCAACTTGCGGATAACCCAATATAATGGACACCTCGATAATACGGACAGCAGCTAAATCCCAGGCGAAAATAAATTGCAGACGTTTGGCTGGTATAAACTCCTGCTATTAAGGACTCTTGCTCTAAGCCTCTTGCTAATAAGGACACTAACTCGAGGTCCCTAAAGTGTCCGCTATAGAGAGAGTTGAATGTAGTAGATGAAGACCTATTAATAATGTGTGGACGTACTACATCTAAATCATTTGTTTAATTAATGGTTTAATGGTTCATTTAATTCTTTTTTTAATGTTTTGAGAGGTTATTTTTATGTAACTTCACTCAATTTAGTAACAGTTCACACTGTTTGAATATTGATGAATTTCATGGCCCAGCTCCTTGAAGATAAGTCTTACTTGAGATCCCATGCAAGCCATACAGTTGAAAAGTGTCCCCATCCTAGCTTTCTGATTATGCTGTAGCGGTTGTTAAACAAGTCTCCTAAGCGAACAGGATGGTAACCTCCTGCAAACAATAAAATTGGAAGCAAAGATCAGTCTACTCAGCTAATTCACTCTCCAGAACCTTGTGAAATGGGGAATGATGTAACATAGTTATCCTCTTCAATGGTTGAAGAATCAGCAGAACCGTCTAGCAGAGTAGACCGCGACCGCTCGTCCTTTTTTCATCAGAGCCACACGGGGTAAGTGACAAGTTAAAATTATGCAAATTACTGGCAAAAAAAGGAGGAGAGATTGGGGCAAGAGACAATTTCTTATTTCTTCTTCACTCAGGCTCCACCCTAGTTCCTCACGGCTTCTCTGCTCACTCGTCGCAAGTTATTGCATTTTACCGTGACGCAAAAGAAAAATAAGAGACTGTTTGCAGTCTACTAGCAGAGTATACATACGGCTGACCAAACATACTACAAAGTGGGTGATTTTCACCAGCTTTTGGCTATTTTGTTAACCCTTGGAGTACTGACTTTGCAAGTAAATGTGTTACTCTAAAAAACATCCATAACCCTTTCTGTGGAAAGAGATACCCTGTCACATCCAACATCTCCCAAGACTCAATTCAAAAAAACTCTCCTTAAATCACTTTTTGACGTTTTGAATTCAGAGGATAACTATATTGATACGCCCACCTTTTTTATCACAAAGGTAAAATTAGCCAAAAATCTCAAACACTAAATTCTTGCTTATTAGTTTCTACTTAAAAACAATTTATTTGTTTTATTCTTTCTTCTTCATTGTGTTATCTAGTAAACTGTATACTTTCCTTAGTTAGCCTTAATCTTAATTTCATATTTTGCACGCATTGTCCCGCCTTGAATAGCCTTGCTAGCTGCGCGCAATGTGACTGTAATATTATCTGCTTATTAGTACAGCTTGTTTTTGTCATCATTGTTCAAGAAGGGTTTATTGGGTCAAGCTCCCCCATCCCTCTGGAAATTTAAGTTTCGCCTTATATTTACTTTACAACTTCAGCCTTTAAATGACTGAGGCGCTAAAGAGTGGGTATGGATATTTTATGGAACCACACAACGTATGATGGTATGTAAAGAAGAGGAATCAAAGAACAAAGTCTTCTGATGACAAAGCTAGACCTTGAACCAATAGACTGCTTGCAGTCCGCCTTTTCTCTTAAAATACGTGCTTATCCCAGCCGGCGCAATTCCAAATGACGACATTATCAGCGTGCAAAGAAAGTAGTGTCTGATAGCCCGGGGCTAGTGGATTTTGCTATCGGGCTAGTGAATTCTTTTTTTAACTTGCCCGACGGGCAAGTGATGTTTTTTGAGGAGTTTGAATAACAGAAGAACTGTGAAAGCAATTCTGCTCGTCAAAAAGGTTTGGGGCTATTTGAAATGACGTCTGGGCTAGTAAATGTAGCTTCAGCTTGCCCGACAGGCAAGCTGTAAAAATGATTTTCTTTGCACCCTGATTATGAAGAGGGATTAGGACAAGATGAGAAAAGATCGACTGCGGACTTTTTTGTGGTAAACAAACCCTCCATGAGCTCAGAAATGAAGCAGCTGATTAGTGGATTTTACAGCTGTTGACAGATCATTGACTGGTCTGTGGATAAGCGTGGTGTGAAATAACAAGCGCTAAAAATAGTCAGAAGAACACGTCGCACACACAACTCACTATGAGCAATTACAAACCAAGCATAATCATACATGTATATGAGCTAAAAATAATGATCAGAACAGAAGGAAAATGCTGTAAATTTTCTGCCAGAAAAGATGTCATGGCAATCTTACAGGATTTTAAAAAGTGTAATTTCCAGCTGTTTATGTTCCATTTACAAATTGGCTCAAGTTACTTGGCTGTAATTCATTAATAAAATTACTGTGGAAGCTCTGCTAACGAACACTCCCGTAAGAGGACAGCTCTACTTCCGAACACTTTTACAAAACCCTGTTTTACTCAACTCTGATACAAACTCTGTATTTTTACATTCTTGTAAGCAGCCAGCTCCAGTTACCGACACCTTTTTCACATCCCAAGGATGTCCCCTTTACAAAGCTTCCACTGTACTTTAACAGTTTTGTTGTCCCCAGACAGAACAAAAGAGTCCGCAGGCTCTTATTTTTATTTTTTTCCCTTTAGGTTACGCCCTCGTTTAGTGCAACTCACGTGCATGCATGGGTTATGCATAGAATAACTTTGGAAAGGAAAATTAGAGACTGCGCGCAGTCTGTGAACTAATCACACTATTCTACAATTCAAATTAACAGCTAAGTGAAACTAATTTAAATGATTGGCATACTTAACTTTAATGCACTATGCATTGAGAACGCTATTCCGTTCTAAAAGTTAAGACACCCTTTTTGAATCTTGTCTAAGTTGTCTCTGTTTTAATTTCTTAGTTACACACATAACTTTTATCTCGTTTTTTCCACAGGAAAAAAAAGAAAAAATATAATAATTATTATAAAGTAAAGTCTACCAGACACAACTGTTGGCTGAATTAGCATATTTCGTGATAATTTTCAGATAGTAACTACAGTTTTTTAAAAACAATGCATTTCATAAAAGAATGAAACGTTTTTAAAAGATTTCAAAAAACGGTTTAAATCTTCAAAAATTTAAACCTGAAATTGGCCAAAATGCTAGAGAAAAAGCTGCAATAACTTTTCAAAATTGGCATAATTCAAACTACACCTTTTTTACGCAAAAGTGTATGGAACAAATGGAAATTTTTTGGCAGTCCAAAAAATATCATTTGCTCCCTTTGTTGATGTATTCAAACGGTAATTTTAGATACACATTTTATATCAAACAAAACACTTTTCATCGGGTAAAACAGAAATCTTTCAGGATCATTTTCTAACAAGAATATTTCTTCTAAGGTTTAGAAGCACCCTTCATAAAAGACATTTAGTGTCCTTAGTATATTGATAAAAACGGTGGAACAATATTGAAATTTGACAGTTCAAAAGCTTGTCTACTAAAAAATTCCTTTATCGATCAGTTTAAGCAATCTGAAAGCAAGGACCGTGTTTCTAACCTGCAGATGATCATAAAAATTACTGTTTCCTTTAAACAAAAAAACTGAGAATCTCAGTTTAAACTAATCTAATAGGACTTGAGATGCACAGCACAATTTTTTGCGTGAACTTAATCTGGCCGCATTTAATGAGCTTATTTTCTCCAACTCGTCTGATTATTGCTGTACTCGAACAGATCGACAAACGGTGTCTAGAAGTTGTCAGCTATTTTCGAACAAAGGAGTAATGAAGAACAAACTTCTCAACGTCTCATAAGGCCAGTAAATGCTGCTTGGTTCGCATTAAAAGATCGCTTATCCACGTGCATGAAACTCAAACAGATTTTAGCCGCACGCTCTTAGAAGTAAGCTAACTTAGGTTAAATACGTTCTTTTATACCTTTGAGATAATCTCCGGGTTCTTCTTGCTCTTCTTCGTCCGAATTTTCGTCCACTTCATAATCCTCGTCATTGAAACTAGAAACACTACCGCTAAAATAACAAGAAAGAGAAACGATCCATTAACTCACAGAAACTTGTTGTAAGTTTAGGAAAACCTCTTTACCTTTTCGGCTTTGACTTGCTATCGTCCGGCCTCATGCGTGCTTTGGGAGCTTTCAGCCTCTTTTTCTTCGCTTGGATTGCCAAAACTGAAACGAATTATAGAAAATCAGTAACTCAAACCGCTATTGCTAAAGGAATTATTTTGAAACCTGACCTTTTCTTTGCATTTTGGAGTTCATTTTGCCGTTTCTTCCAGGCTAGCGATAAGTTTGTTGAAATTTGGGTTTTTAGGCGCGCATGTCAGCGCTTTGAGATTGCGGGCTCATAGAGCAGCGCGCGAACTTGTACATTTCTTTTCAACTTTACTGTACCCTGTAGGTATGTACATTTTCAGTTTTACAGTAATTATTTACGAGAAAGGAGATCAACAGACCGACAGAAAGACAGGACAGGACACAGCATATATGGGCAATAATTTTCTCTTACCTCCACCTCACTTCCTTAACCCACAACGTCCCCCACTCCCCCCTCCCCCCACCATCTATAACTGTTCATCGGGAAGTGAGCATTACAGATTTGCAAAAAATGTCTTTGTGCTCCACACTACGAGCATATACACAAAAAAGATTTAATTGTCTTCTCAGATTTTCGGGCCCAAATTAATGTGCTCATCGGAGCTCATAGGATGAGAAGTGCCTTGCACAGCTTACTGGGTCCTCACCCATCCTATTCACAGCCGGTGTGTATTCAAGGCGGGCTCTCGTCGAGTTCACTTTTTTTGGCCATTCGTTAAACGATATATCTAACGTGAAAAGTGCATTACAAAGAAAATAGATAACCTATCAAATAAATCGAATTTCCTGCCAGCAGCAAAGAAACATAATAGTGTTCAAAATATAAAATAACAGCAAGTCCTCCCAGTTGTAAACCTGGATCAGTACAATAAACAAACCTTCTTCAACTAACGTTTGTTTTCAAACCGAAATATTGGGTAAATTTGTTTAAATATATATATTTTTTGTTTTATTCTTTTGTTTACTTCTTCATCAGGTGTTCATCGCCTTACCGTAAGGATCAGTTTGTCGTTTTATGATTTTCTTGATCTTTCATAATAGTGTTATCCATTCAAATCGTGCCTGAATGCAGTATTAAAGTACAACAACTAGCTGTTACTGAAAAGATATCGAAATATTGATGATGAAGCGTTTATCACTGGTTTATAGACTAGCTGATCCAAATGACATCATCCAATGAAGTGTATTCACTTATTGAAAGTTCCAGTTAAAAAATGAATAATGAATCAAGTAGGATTGTGACATGTTTTGAAACACAGCAGGTAGGGAGAAATAGAAATCGTAATTGAATGCAGTCGTTAAGCTGGCGAAATTATTTCTCTGCAAGACATGGATATAAATTATTGAAATTAACAACAATTACTCTATCAGAGGTATCAATATTGCATTGAAGATGCTCTCTTTCACAATTAAAATTCTCGGGAAACAATTTAAATGCTCACCGCAATGAACAGGATCGAATACATGATCGCGTGAGAGCAGCCTTAACGAGATAGGTAGAAAAGGGAGCGATAATTAGATTAAACTTGTTAGTTTAGTCACGCGAGTTGCCTTGTAATCCGCATTTTATAAACAAACGATCACTTAAAACTTTAGAAAAAGCTGATAATTTTTACCAAAATATACAGGTTCCGTTACTGCTTGTTAATAAACTGTGCAGTGCTCCGGTACATACGTTGGTCTCGACGTGTGGCATCCCTATCAGAGCTAGTCACTGAGTTAGGATAAGGCAGATGACCGAGACATTGAAACTGCGATCTAACATTTTTATTATGTGGAGTTCACAGTTGTTTTCTTTTATGCACGAAAATATCAACCTGGCCTCTAGATTTGTGCTCATAGAAGCTGCCAGTTTCTTGCTAGCCAAACTCTACGAAAGGTCATTTTTAATTATAATTTAATCCCATATTGCATTTGCTTTTATCTCTTGTCGAAAAAGTCTGCGGTTTCAAAAACCGCACATCGCTACTAAATGCACAAAATAAACCCAAAATCTGTTGTTAAATTACCGATGCAAAACATTTGAGCTATTTGGATAATCGATCATTGGTTGTCTTAAGAATTACATGTAAAATTCGTCTGCTTGCCTTACGAATCAATCGTACGATTGTCTGTACCCTGCACAGCTTAATGTCCGAGCAGAAAACTAACTTAAGAATAAACATTCCACTGAAAAATGGATACCATTACGAGACTGAACTAGGTTAGTTCTCTTAGTGCGCTTGAATGAATTCCGCAGTAAACATAGCTGAAAATATCTCAACACCATCCCAAGGAACTATCTCACCTTTCGCGCGCGACGAAATATCGGTCAAAACTTGGCTTAAAACAGCTTCATGGGTTAGTTTTTCGTCCTCCTTTGCAATTTTCTTTTAAACCTTCTTATCCTTTAAATACCAAGCGAATCAAATCCACAGCACGCTGTGTCTGGGATTACTACGTTATCGTGTTTTGTTTTTGTTTGAAAAGCGCACTGATTCACTCGACAAACAAAAGTTTCTAATAACGTGACCCTTCAAACGCTCGATTTCAGCTGTGACGTCCGGATAAAAATTTGACAGTTCAAGTGTATACAAAGCCACTAATGAATGACTCGCTCTTCAGTGAATCAGTGGGAGACAGATAAGAAAGAATACACAAAACAAAGAATCCTACAAAGGTCATCAGCCCGGGCGGGGGGGTGGGGGGGCACTCGACAAAGTTTCATACTGGGAGGCTCCGCCCCGATGTTAACCTGCGATCAGGCTTTTTTTTTTCTCGTCTCCCAAACAAAAACATGTCCAACCCCTTACCCTTTTATATATCATTTTTGACAGATAAGTTACCCCTTTCGCATACCTTCTATTGACAAATGATTCCCCTTCCGCGCCGCATGCCTGGCTTAGAACTTTGCTTACCTTTAAACTGCTGTAAGTGTATTGTCTTTAAAATATGAATAAATCACAAGACCAGAACGTTTTCTCGACTTTTTCACACCCATAAAACGCATCTGTTAGCCCTTTTGGGACTTTCTACTGACCGACAAGACAAATTCCCCTACCCTTTCATATACTTCAACAAGTGAGATCCCTTCCCATTTATATATCTGAAGCCTGAATAAAATACCCCATTCGGGCGAAGTCTCCCCTTATAGACCATTATATATAGTACCCCTAGGGGGTCATAAGCACTCGTTTTGTTTCACACACTGCACGAACTCCCATCTAAAGAACAGACTCTTTAGCAGAATTAACTTGTAATCTTTTACTTGCCCAGTATCTTCATCAAATGCCATATAGAACCATACAGATATTAAAAACTTGTTGATCTGGAAAAGGGGTCAAGAAAGTTTATTTAATTTCTGAATATATATTTTTTAATTCACTAATATCCACCTTGTGTGGTCGTATGACGTCAATGCTGTTGAACTCTTTTTTTTTTTCGGACTGATAAGAATAAAACAACACCGAAAGTTGGCAAGACGGTAGATCGTAGACAACAGTTACCGGCACCATACAAACGACTTGTTGACGGCCGGGACTTGAGCAAAACTAACTACGAGAGAATGAATGGACAAACGACAATTTAACTAAATAAACTACTGCAGTTAAACTGTGACACTGGGAAAATTGACGGATCGAAACGCACCAATGACATTTCGAATCTTCATAGTTTTAAAGTAACATCACTGCTTAAATGAAAGACGACTGACAATATTGCGACTTTATTGACCAATCAGGTCAATAACCAGGCATTCGAGTAATTTGCTTTTTCTCTGCCTGCTAAACAATCAGTTGATTAATTTATATTATTGCTAGAAATAAAGACAAAAGTTGATGGCCACTTCAAGTACCTTTTTTTCGATCTTCCTCCCAGGCAATTCTTTCCTCTTCACTGTGTGCAAACTTACACAGCTTGCCTTGAAAACAAGGTTGCTTTCGTTTTATAAACGCACAGAGCTTGTAGCGGCCATATATTCCAGTCGGCCTAGAAAGAACTACATAGTTCTGCCCATGCAAGGCTCTCAACGATGTCTTATGAGTCTGTTCTTGACCAGGTCCGGATCTTGCCCGTTGTTCACTGACAGCGCGTACGCTAACGTCCCGAAAAGTAGCCATCTTTGGGCGATATTGTGCTCCCTCTAAAACCCAGATCGCCAGGACAGGTACTTTATTGTGCTACAAATACTGCTGTAAGCAAAACACAAAACACAAAACACTTCCCGGAATCCAAAAACACTTCCCAGAATCCAAAAACACTTCCCAGAATCCAAAACACTTCCCAGAATCCAAAATCCAAAACCCTTCTTAGAATCCAAAACACGTCCGGAATCTGGCGTATGAAAGTCGTCGTCGTCTAACCCATGTTTACTGAGTCAAGCTAGGTCAAGCGTACCCCACCAAAATTCCATTAATCAATTTATTATTCTAAAGTTGAGTCCGTTGGCAGTTGCAGATTTCAGATTCATCTCTGCATTCGTGCATGCGTCATGAGCCGTGAATTCACACACGATTCAGTTACGAAATTTCTACCAGATCTGTTTCCCTGAATTTGATGTAAATGTCTTCTTTATAGAATTTTAATTCATTCAAAAATTTTCTATCTGACCTAATAGAGACAAGTTCTCGTAAATTATTCATTAATTTGACACTAGTTACGGGAACGACTAACGGATTCATTTTTCAAATAATCAATTCATTAATAGAATCTTGGGGGGTACGCTTGACCTGCTTTGACTGTAAACTATGAATACCAACGTTGTTCTTCGATCCATAACCTTGTTTAGATCATGTCTAAACACCGACTAAGGAACAATAGTAAGTTAGACCTGATCACAGGTAGGTTTAAACGCTGTTTATCGCTTTTTTTTTCATCGTCAAATCGACGTAATATATACATTCGTCATTTGGCTCCTTAGGGACAGATGTAAAAATACAATGACGAAGATTTTCGATCGCGTCTTCGCCTTAGAAAGGACTCGCTCATTGGCAACGACAGATCTGCTGCTTACACCAATGCAGCAAGTTCCTACCGCTTTGAGATTATTTACAGCAAGAACCTTCGAGCAGGTTCAAAGATTGGCGATTTATTTGGTGTTTCTGTATTGAGGAGTTCACGCTCATAGTTGCATCATGGGTAATCAGGGCAAGATGGCGGGAAATTAGAAGATTTGTATTAAAATTCAA